TTGCAGCTCAGTGAGTTACAATAGGTTGTTTAGGTATTAAATCAGTTTCAAGCAATCAAGTTCTGTGGATTTTTGTTGAATTATAAGTTTAAGGAACAAATTGGTCTTTTTAAAAAAAGATGTACTAAACAGCAATAAGTTCCTACATTTGTGTATGTCATGAAGCAGTAATGTATCTTATTGACTAATAACAAGCAATTAAAGGAAACCCAATAGCAAAATTACTGGCACAAAATTGATCAGTATTGAATGTCATCTCCACAGGGATTCTGAGAATCCAGGTGCTAGTTTGTGCATGATGGCCTTTTGCAGTAGAAGACATCATTTAGAGTATAGACGGCCAGTATGTTGCCCATGGAAGTTATTTATATTAACTATTGTTTGTAGAGAAGGTAACTTCCACTGCATACAATCTGTTTTTCTGGCCTCTTCATTGACTTCATACAAGTACTGTATACATTAATCTGGCAACACTTTATTCATTACTGAGAGGTGCTACAGAAACTGCCCCATCCTCTTTTGAAAACATTAATTAACATTAAACAACAGTCTGAAAGCTCTAGCATGTGGATTTGACTTCAGGCCTTTTGACAGCTGATGTTCTTGCGGTTTTGTCTCCTTAAAGACTCAATTCAGAGCACCCTTTTATGAGCAGAGATTGAGCTTGAGTCCGAGGATTTGCCTAACAGCTTGATTGTTAAGGGCATCATGTTTTAAAAAAGCTGTTTTGATGATGCAGAAGATCATTGTTCAATAGGTTGTGTAATATTGTGGTTTGGCAGTTAAAATGTCCCATTTCAGTAATCCACTATCTATTGACAGATTGCCAGTACAGTATGTATGTTTTATGCTTTATTTTAATATGCAGATCCCAAACCTGCTATACTACCTGATCTTTATGGAATATAAGAGTTGCCTTTCCTGTTTTTATTTTGTAACCCACAAGTACACAGTTATTTTAGACATTTTCATTTGTTTTTAGTATTAATTTACTCCTACCCATCAATATGTTTTCATTTGTTAATGATCTCATTCATTTGGGAACATGTCTCCATTGTTTATGATCTAGGGGTGACTTCCTGACAGTCCTCTCTGCATTTAGGGAAGATGAGTCTAGAAGAAAGTGGAAAGATAAGCAAAATCTGCAAAAATTGTACAGATTAAATATCTTCAGCCTATAAAGTAGGAGAGCTACTGGAGTCTTTACAGTTCAGAGCCAGAATCTGATTGTAACAAAGTATTGTTATACAGGCAAAAATAATGTTTAATGTAGTCCAAGCATGACATTGTTTCTGCAGTTATTATGGCTGTGTGTCTGTTAAGTGTAATTCAGAATGGGTACAATAATGTGAGTTCAGACAGCTCCTTAAAATAATGCATCAAAGCTGAGTCATTACTGTATATTCCTGGTAATACATTTTGAGAACTACAAGGTTCTGTACTGTCATCTTACTCATATTCATTTCAGTGTTTTTATACAGAGAAGAATTAGACTATATTGAATTGACTGAACGGTCAGTAAATTGAGCTTCATGGAAGTTAAGTCATGTTTCATGTCTGTAGTCTGTATCCCTTTTTCTCTGTAATGGTTTTCAGTGTATTTTGATTCTTAAGTATGTCTTACTGCCATGCTCTAGATTCCTTCTGTAGTCAATGAACCTTCTGCTGGCACTGAAGTTGAAGTGCACTCCCTGAGAAATTCTCAGAGGAATTGCGCCCTGTTGACCTACCCAGCTTCCTGTGTAACATTTCAAGTAAGACGCAAGATTTCGTCTTGGAGGATGTTGAGGGAAAATGGATGTCGTGTCATAAGCTGTTTTTAACAAAACTCTCTTCTCTTTTTCTATATAAAATACCTCTACTCAGAAAGTTGTCTCGGTTAAGATGCTATGAAGTAAATCGTGGATTCTAATTATTGTCAGAAGCCCATCCCCTTATTTACAATAGGTCCTTTATTTAAGAGCAGCAACAGCTAAGCAAAAAAGGATTGGGGAAGAAAAGATTAAGTGGAAAGTTGTCTTTCATTTTCTTCACTTACTGTAGATGTCTTGTTTTTGTGCCGACCCTGGACTCCTGAACTTGCATAGCAGGCATTTATCATTATTGTTCGCTATAAACCTTGCAAAGCTGCACCCTGATATTTAATGTGTTTTGCTATAAAAATACCTTAGCAACAAATTGGGAAGTAAAACATGAAATGTCCAGATAAACTGCAATGTAAATGAAGATTTATTTGTATGTGAATGTGCTTCTTACTCTTACAATATTGTTTACATTCCAGTTCTGAGTATGAGGGCTTTGTTTGCAGGAGACTTTTGGGGAGTCTTTGCAAATCACTTTCAGAATAGCTCAATCTAGTCCCCCCCTCAATCCCTGTTGACTTTTTTTTCCTGCAAAGAGAGATTCATGTCTTTATATAACAGCATATGGTAGAATAGTGAGTAAGCTGTGGAAAATAACACAACTGTTGAGGTAAACTCATATTAGCACCAATCCCTTTACACTCTAAGTATTGATTATTTGTCTTAGAAAAATGTTTTTTTTTTTGCAGAGGCTTTTCAAGGCATAAGCGAATTCAACAAAAAGGACAGAATTGATCTACAGGTGGTCTCTAATTCAGAGCTGTAATGGAACAGTAAGTGCATTGTGTTGGTTGTGAATGTTCAGTTTTCCCGTAGATGAAAGGCAAGCAATCTGGAAGACAGAGAAATAATATGCAACCCCGCTGAGAGGCAATCTTCAGCAATGGTTAATATATGGGCCTCGGGCCACAGTCTGTATTGTTAAGACCTTTCTTCAGGTGCTATTAAGTAAGGCGAATAAACCAATGATTGTGGCACTGCAAAATTCAATCCTAATTTTCCTCAAATGTCATTTAAAAAAATGCATTAACCATTTGAGCATTCTGGAATGTTAGAAATAGTTTTTGAAATAGCACAAATTAGGGCTCAAAGCATGAAAGAAAAAAAAATGTGCAGTAATCTCTGACTGTTTTCTGCTCCAAAAAGGATTTTCTAAATTAGTTTTGTGAGCTGATGTAAACCTACAGCACCCTTGCAATTGCTTTCTGCCTAAAAATAATGTATAATAATGGTTTAGGGATGCTGTATGTTCTTTTATTGCCCCTTGTATTTCTGCTCTGTAAAATAGCATTAATTTGTACTGTTTGAAGTTTTCTACTGATACGGAAACATTACATATTTATGTAAATTCAGTCCTGTATTTTTTTCATATTTATCTTTTTACTTGGCCAAATTATCTTCCTTCTCAAATAAGCACCTGTTTAGAATTTTGTCAACGTTTTATTTTATTTGGTATATTATTTGTGAATGGTACAATTCCTTCTGTGAAGGTTGTGGAGTTGTACTGTGTATAGTGTTGATACAAAAAAAGTATTTAGAAGGCAGCACAGGACATCATGTTGTTTGATTTATTACCTTTATATGTTTTGAAGCTCATGAGCGATGCAAGTAGAGAGCATTGTGACATCTTGCTTTCAGAAAAGCACTATAAAGGAAGGCTGAATTATAGCCTTGATGCTTTGCTTTGTGGAGCAATGATATGATGTTAGCTTATTTCTCATTCAACTAGTTCTTCCAACTTTGCACAGTGCCCTTTTCATCTCATTCATAAAGCCATTGTTAGAATAAATGCCACGACAGTCACGTTGTGTTGTGTTGACAGAGATAGAAAATGAACAAGTAATAGGTTTATTCCATGCTGAAAAAAAGAAGAAAGAAAACATACAAACTTTCGGCCGTGGAGCCTTCTTCAGGTGTGAGAGATAGAAAACTACTTGCAAGTGCCATTCAACCAAGTCAGCATACAAGTCAGAATGCAAATTAATGCTCAAGTCTGATGTTTAAGCCGTTGGTAAAGGGAGTTGTGGTTGTGGGTTCTGGAAATCAAATTGGTATGAAAGAGAGGCAAAGTAAGTCCAAATCCAAAGTCCAGAGGATATTTTGAGAATGATCAAAAACAATCTATAAAATAGGGAAAATGCATTTGGCACACTCAGATAATCATAACTGGACATCTTAATTTGCTTTGAAAAATGAGTCAAGTTGGTATTAATATCAAGGCTTCATATGATATGGCTGCTTGCCAGCAGTCATATCACCCTGTAACTCACAACTGGCTAAACCACTGAAGCTCAGCAGGTGTGAGCCTGGTCAGTACCTGGATAGAAGACTAAGGTTGCTGCTGGAAGAGGTGTTAGTGGGGCCAGCAGGGGACTCTCACTCTGTGGTCTGTGTGGGTCCTAATGCCCCAGTATAGTGACAGTGACCTGTGTTCATTAAAACCCCAGGGCATTTCTCGAAAAGAGTAGGGGTGTAACTCCGGCGTCCTGGCCAAATTTCTCATTGGCCCTTAACAATCATGGCCTCCTAATAATCCCCGTCTATGAACTGGCTTCATTATTCTTTTCTCTTCTCCACTAATGGCTGATGTGTGGAGGGCGTTCTGGTGCGTTATAGCTGCTGTTGCATCATCCAGGTGGGGCTGCACATGGGTGGTGGAGGAGGGGAGTCCCCATTACCTGTAAAGCTCTTTGAGTAGAGTGTCCAGCAAAGCTCTATATAAGTGTAAGCATTTATTATTATTCATAGTTATTCTTTGTTCACTGTCAGGAAATAATGTTTTACAAAGAAGGCTATTCCTGAAAAGAATGACTACATGCATGTGTAAAAAAGTGTGCATTGTGCAAATTACGTATCAATACATTACAGTAATACCTCTTCTACCCTAAGTACGGTCAATTCATCATATAGAAGGAGAGGAAGAGTACCTCTTTTTACATTATTTTGTTGTCCTGCACAAAAATATAATTTTGTTAATTTATGAACCATAAAAATCTCTCATCCAAGATGTCATTCGGCTCATGAAAGAAGGTAGAAGAAGGCTGTCTTTTCCCAGAGAAACCTGCAACCCTTTGTGTAAAAAGAAGTACTAAAATGGGTCAGATGTAGCTCTGACACTTTTTTCTTTTTTCCTTTCAGAGTCAGTATCTTCTGTGTATTCGTCTCCTGCGAAAAGTGTGGGAGATCCTGGAATCACACCTCTTTCGCCCTCGCATTCTTTGGTAAGAGCTTGGCTGGGGATCAGTAACAATAAACCACTGATAAAAATGACACATTTTCTCAAACTAATCTTTACATTTTAATGTTTGTTAATTTTCACATTTTTTAAACTAGTAATTTTCAGGGTATTATCAGCTTTGGTGACCTGTCCCCTTTAGAGGTTTAGTTTTTTACTCCTCATCGATGTTAGTTTCTTTTCTACATCTATTATATTTTTGATGGGACTGGATAAAAGCACCACCATTTCTCCTAACTAGACACATCTTTTGATATTTGCTACAATTGTAACCTTTATTTAAGTCTTCCTTCTCAAGTCAAATCTGAACACATTTTTTTTTTGTTTCTATCAGTGAAAGTACACTATGTGTAAAGCATATGTTTTGGTGCCTGACCTAGAAGGAATCTGATTATGAAAGTGGAAAACACTTGTATAGTTGAAAGCCCAGGACTTCAAAAAAATTAAAGTACTGAGACCAAATAACGAATCTGTTTGTGTTATAAACGGTACTTTCAAACTTAAGTTGCATCAAATCTTTGTGGTTTGTTACCAACTCTAAATTAGGTTTTATGTTCTTTAAAACATAACTTTAAGCAATCTCCTCCCTTTCCTGCTTCAAGATATTTCGAGCTCAGTGGATAACCATTATTTTTTACAGGTTCCTGTGTTTGCTAGAATCACTTATAGTACCGGCTTTCTCTGAGATTACTGCTGTCCATGGGTTAAGTTATGATACAGACCTGCTTGAAACTTCAGCCACTTTTTTTCTTTAAAACTCTCTTTCAAGCATCTGTTTTATCAACTCGCAAGATTTAATGTGTAATTTAAGTTATTGTTGTTTTTCTCTATCAGGTCTCAAAGCATTTTGAGTCCTCTGAGCTGTTTGATTAGATGAAATAAGATCACTTTATTGGCCATATCCAATTTCTTGTATTAGGAATTTGTCTTTTTTCACATACCCCAACTTGCTCTCCATGAGACACAGACAGGGAGAGAACCTTGGGGTCAGAGCACAGGGTCAGCCATTTATACGGCACCCCTGGAGCAGTTGGGGTTAAGGGCCTTGCTCAGGGACCCAAAGGAGTAGGATTCATCTGCTGGCCACGGGATACAAACCGGCCACCTTCCAGCCAAAGGCGCAGATCCTTAGCCACAGAGCCACTGCACTGCTCAAAACTTCTGCCCGAAGCGGATTGAACTCGGATTGCCTAGACAGAGCCCCTGTTGACAAACCCGCTGTACCAACAGGCTGCTCTCCTGTACAAAGTGTTGAAGCTGGCCTTTTATGTTCCACTTCAGCTTTTCTGAGCTGTGTCATTAGGTCGTACATGTTTCACTTTTGTTCATGGTAGCAAGGGATTTGGATTGCACAGTGTTATGCTGTTTCGTCATTAACAGTATGTTCATTTTTTCTGTATAGTATTACATCTCACTTGGCTTCTTTTTCGGACCCAGTTATATAATATTTTTAAGTATCCCATGTCTGACATTTCTTCATTTTGGCTCCAAAATAAGATTCAGGTGACTAAAGATCAAGATTTTACTCTACAAATGTTTTTGTTACTTTACATTTATGATTTCTACACTCACTTAATCAGGTGCATAAAATGTTAATAAAGGTTTTATACAGTATGTACTGTACATTTTTAAACTAGCACCCTTTAAGCATATAATCTACCATTAGCTTCATTTTTCTACATTATAACTTTAAATTGGAAACTCTTATACAATCATAAATTATCATAAAATACTGAAACAGAGAATATGAGCCTTAAATGATTGTGAATATAATTTTTTAAGATCACTTTATTAGCCATATACAATTTCTTGCATTAGGAATTTGTTTTTCCACATATATTTTTTTAACTTAAAAATATGAATGCTAAGTAGAATACTAATTGTAAGGACTAGCATATACAGTAAGTGCGAACAAGAACACTGGTGGAAGCACAAAACAAGCTATAGGATTAAAGTTTTTTTTGTGAAGAACTGAACATTTGAAACATACAAAACCGGTATTTGGAGTTTTATCACATATTTGCTTACTAACCTTAACAGCGACAAAACGGCAAAATGTACATGCAAATATTAAATTGCCGCACCTCTTTTCATTAATATTGCCTGTCATTATAAGGACAGAAGGTTACACTAAAGTTTTTACTGCCTATGTACTGTAACTTAACAGCCTTGGTCATTAGTAATTATTCATGGCCATATTGTAAAGACCACCACTCTTATCTTGCAGAAAGACCCAGACCAGAATGTTGCAGCGGGCCCACTGTACATGGTGGTGGTGGCCATTGATTTTGGGACCACCTCCAGTGGTTATGCCTATGCCTTCACAAAGGAGCCGGAGTGCGTCCACACCATGAGGTGAGCACTGCAATGCAGCAGCAGTGGGGCTCTGGCACAGAGCCTGAGCAATCTGTCAGGATGTCTGAGGAGCTGCAGAGATGGGCTGCGCTAGAGGAGTCTCCTTAAAAGCATGTCTGAGACGAGACTGAATGGAGGGAGGTTAGGGTAGAGCAGAATCTCTTGTTTTTCAAGCATTTTGAGGTTAGTTGTTTTATGGCTGACTCATAATAATGGTGCAGTGAGTCTTGTGTTCACAGCTAAAATAAGCACGTTTAAAATACAGAAACCCCTTAAATCATCTCTGTAATCTTTATACTGTACATTTGTTGAACAGTATTTTCAATTTGTTCAAAAACAAAGTAGGAAATGGTATATATTTACAGTATATGGCATTAAGTGTTCAGATTTTATAAAATGTATGCATAAAAGCAATTGTTTAAATGCTTAATATATTATGTTTTGTATTTTGATGGTATATTAGTTCATTTCAGATAGGGTAAACGTTTGTCAAATGTTATTACAATAAAAGCTATGGTTTCCCTGAGAGAAAACACTATACATTCTACCTGCTATGGACATATTTGAACTTTTTTGACATCTCACCACAATGTGACAGAAATGACATTTTCCAGCCTGAATTGTTTGTAAGATTTGTACTCTATTGTCATAACAATATAATGAATGGAGCCCTGATTGTTTAAACATCCTGGCAGGTGAAAGAAATGGTGGTTTTAGTTGCTGTTAACCAATGCTATGCAATGTGTATTTTTATTACCCTACTTTTTTCATTACCCCTTGCATCATTTGAAAAAATCCTTTTGATACGACTCCAGCTGTCTAGGGGTAAAGGGGTGTAACACTTAGGATGGGTTTGAATGCAGGTGGGTTTCTTGTGAGGGACTTAGGAAGAATGAAAACAAAAGTTTGGTGCAAAAGTGATTATTTTTAAAAAGTGAATAAGTGACTGGTACGTACAGTATACAGGACATAAGCGGTGCCAAAGGAAAGAAAATAACAAAACCAAACAGATCTAGCTAATACAGTGTGGTCTAACCTAACTAACCCAAACAAACAAAAATCAGAAGGTCTTCGGCGTCTTCATGTGCCCTAACTTCCCTACACTGAACTAATCAGAACCAAAATACACGAGTGGCACACGCCCCTCACCTGGTGTGTCTAGACAGAAAACAAACCTACTTGTGCAGAATGTAACCCGATAACCTTACCTATATGTTTTCCCCTGGTGTACAAGTTCACAGTTCACAATAACACAACACGGGTGAACCAATTGATGGGAACAGGTAATACCGAAGAAAACAAGCAAGGAACAGGGTAACAAATGAGCACAAGCAAGGTAAAAAGGAAAGTAACAAGTGCAGGCAAGGTAATAACAAAACACAGGACATCAAAACAAACGAACGAAGCCGAAGCTACAATGAACAAACACGAACACTAGCGAGCAAAATGTGAAAACGAGCCGAAGCTAACCCGAAGTTGAGCCGAAAGCTGACCGAAACTGAAAACTCCCGAGGTCGGAACTTCTTCGGTATTTAAACTGTGGATTTAGTTGCTGATTGGTTGGGAGTTGATTGATGATGATGTCACAACTGCAATGATGGTGTAGTGATGGACCAATTGGTGGGGGGGTGGTACCCAAATACAGGAAGCGGAAAAAACACAAGCATAAGAAAATTAATCCAAGACTGTAGAACATGGAAATGTATTGTTATGCCCACCAGAGAAGTCAGAAATGCAATTGTCTGCTTTGGCAGAAATCACTTCTTGTAGGCGTTTCTTGTAATTGTCTATCTTCAACTTTTTGCTCACTCACCCTTACAGAACTCCTTCATTTGTGTGATATTTGAGGGCTTTCGTGCAAGTACTGCCCGCTTCAAGTCCCTATACAGCATTTCTATGGGGTTAAGATCTGGGGTTTGACTTTTACCCAGAAATGGAATAACCCAAATGTAAAAGTATGAATCCTATTCCATGAATCTTATGTTGAGCAAACATAAGTATAGGGCTACTGTATGTTGCCCTATACATTTGTATAGAAAATAATGCATTTGATATGAAAAAGGGTGGTCATTTTAGCTGGTCAGGCACAACATCTGTCTCATGAGCTTGATACTGTTTCACATATTTCTTTCCTTCACACTGCAACTTAAATGCAAAACCTGTTTAAGTTACTATAGCTGGAGCACAAGCCAACAGAGTGTACAAATAGCAATTGGTTGCTTCCCCCCATTTTAAAGGAACATGACAAACACAGCTGCATGTATACAACAGCTTTTCAATTTGCATTAATGTCATGGATTGATGAAATGGCAAACTTTGGGTTGCCTAACATATTTCCTGGATAGTGTAAGCATCAATAGAAATGGCACTTCATCACATGGTACATCATTCCAGATAATACATTTTATGAATATACATGAATAATTTAATTAATAAAATCAGTTCTTTACCTCAATCAGATCACTAAATTTCTTAAGATTGCATTACAGTTTGTGTCTTATTTCAGGGAATGCAATTTAACATCTCTCCAACTGTAGAAATACAATAGCAAGGTCTCGTCAATATATCCAAATAACTGTTTTCCCACCTGGAAAGTGTAACAGCTGCTGTTCTCCTGAGCTGGTTGTGATTAAACTAACAGTGACATCCAGCATCTCCTGAATGACGCTGTACTTGTACTGTCAGGCCACTCATGTCATTTCTCACTGCCTGCTGTCATAAAATAGTGATGCTGAGCTGCAGTGCAAAGGACAAGCTCTGTTAGCAGCAGTGGACATCGGAGAATTCTCCATTTAGAATCTCTTAGCTAGACATCTTACACAAACCAGAAGAGAGACTGTGTTACAGAATACATTTGAACTAGCAGTCTTTCTTATACTGTAGGACTAAGAAGATTGTTAATCTGCTGCTTTTACCTACTATAGTATAAGAGATTCACAAGGCATCCAATTATGTTGGAGGTAGCTCAGGTGAACTTAATGAGAAAATAGTATAATTTTTTGTGTTTTCTTTCTTCTCTTTTCAACGTGGAATAAACCTATTACTTGTTCCATAGTATAATGTGGTTTGACTTCCATTTATATTTCATTTACTGCCCCACAATATGCTCTTCCCTATATGAGCCCTGTGTCATAAATTCATCAGTGTCATTCGTGCTTGAAGAACATATGGCATACTATATCACTGTGGGAATAGAGCTATTTATAAGCCCTGGCCTATCTCTGCAGAAAAGCATGCTTTTCCAATAGAGTAGTATTTCACTCTTGTACCACCTAATGTGATTGCAACTGTCACTCAGGAGTACCTGCCAGATGTCATTTTTGAACAGCACCGTCCTCACAATTCTTCTTTTAAGTCATACACCCATTACAAAGCATGCGTGAATATTAAGGTTTTAAATCCTTTTCTTTTAATCTTTTATTTTTTGTAAAGCTAGCATCATCACTTTTTTCTCTTATATGATTCCAAGATGGAATGCACAGGTTAACATGATCTGATTTACCAACAATAATTTTGTCTCTAGACACCAGAATTACAAATGCATCATTTGCCCATTATAAAGTACTACATTGAGGATTTGCATGGATCCATCCCGTGATTATGTCCTCACTGGATGTCAAATTACTTTGAGATGTGCAGTGTTGTATCAAATATAACTTTGTCAATCCAAAATTATATAAGGATATAAATAAAGGATGGAAATTTGTCTTTGGCATCACTATATTAAAAATGCAAAAAAGTAAGACTTAACATAAAATAAATACATATAAAAAAAAACAATAGTTTTGGAATACATATATACACAAATCTCTCTGCCCAAACTACATTACCATTACAACTAATTTGATAGTTCAATACAGGAAACAGTCACTTACTGTAGCTGCGTTTAATATACCAAATGATTTCTTGTATACTTTCCTTGGCCATAGGCATTCTAAAACTGAAGGCAGCAGATGGAAATGGGAATGAAGAGGATGAGAGTGGTCATCAGTGATAAGCTGAGAGTTTTTTTTAACTGCAATATAATACTCTAAACATCTTATATATACTGTATAATTTATATATCTAAAAATAAATGTAGAGATATATTTGAACAGCTATTTAAACTGTTGCTGTGGTCTACCATTTATTTTATTTAATCGTTTAATCAATTTTTTTGTGCCCTGGTTCTTCCAGTTTCTGAAGCTCATTTTAATGTATAGTTGGATTAGTTGGAACCAACATTTTCACTGATATTGGAAATGAAAGCCTTTCCTGTACTTGTTGCTAAATCTTGGCTGTTCTTTGTACTGTGTGCACCAGGCGTTGGGAGGGTGGAGATCCTGGAGTGTCCAATCAGAAGACCCCCACTACCATCCTGTTGACTCCAGAAGGGAAGTTCCACAGTTTTGGCTACGCGGCCCGGGACTTCTACCATGACCTGGACCCTAGCGAGTCCAAGCACTGGCTGTATCTTGAGAAGTTCAAGATGACGCTACATACAACCGCTGTAAGGACACGGAACCTTGGCATCCACTATCATAGCATGAGAATTCAATAACAATTTAAAAAAATATCTTGAATGTATATAACTCTAGCACTCATATTTAAATATTGCACCACTCACTTAAAATATATTTAACACTCCAAGCATGTATGATTTCTTTCCTTATCCCCTTAAGCTTTTGAGTTTCTGATCATTTCTTTTTGGATGAAAGATTTTTTGCATTTTTTTCACTGCTGCAATCAAATTTTAAGGTAACAATTATGTGGCATTTGAGAAAGAAACGTAAAATGCTGTCTTTTTTACTGTAATTCGAGAGGATATGTAGCAAATTAACACGTAAACTTGTGTTGTAAAGTTAAAAGAAAAACACTTTTCTTCCAGTGTGTGAATGGCATCATTTTGTTTATTCGCTTTACTTCAGCATAGACTTAAGCTTTACTGTTCCTTTGCAGCCCGACACACACTGAAGCATCTCCACACCTGAACCTCTATGTAACAGATTAGTGTATGGCAATGTAGCTTGTGGGCAATAAGAATTGAGAAAGCTTTTTAGCCACAAGTGGTGTTTGTGAATCTCTGCATAATCTATCATGTCATTTTAACAAACCTGACATTCTGAAATTTTCTTAACTTTTAGTACTTTTAAAGTTATTGTTACTTTGGGCACATATACTGTATATACTTTGTGACACTTAACATAGCAAAGAATGTTTAAAAGCAATACAAAAATATTAACAATAGCAACAATTTGATTAAGTGAAATGTAATCCCTGGTGTGTTTATAGAATAGGTTAAACAGGTGTTAGTTTATTCTTTGGAGAGTTTTGTTTAAACTGTAGAAGGCTACCAAATACAGGACATCTGTCCCCATTAACTAGACAGGTTTGAGTCTTAACAGAACTGAGAGTTTGGCAGCATGGAGTTCATGAGGACCTCTTAGATATAAATCAAGGAGCAACATGAATGAGAACTCAATGAAAATATTGACCTAACAGTCAGACAGGGCAGGAAACTGTGACTCACATTTAATTGATGAGCACCTGAATTTGGTATACAGGTAGTTCATCTGTGAGTCCAGGTTTATTGAGTGATCAAGAGCATGCCATTTCTGAGCCCCATGAGGTGACAGGAGGATATACATATTTATACAGGTATGCTTAATTATATTAGCTGGCAGTACAATAAAAAGGAGAATCAGGTTGTTGGTTGGGATGTTCAAATAAACAAATTGATTGATCTTTTCATATACAGTATGTATGTTGCTGACACAGAAGGACAGACATTGCAGTGCACACAGTGCAGTGAATAAACAAAATCCTGTACACAGTGAGTTTAGCTACAGTGAATGTACTGTACAGTAATTGTCCTCTAGTGATCCTTGTTCAATTCTGCTAGAATTGTGATCTATGCTTTGGACTCTACTCTGGATTGTAATATTTATGAGATACATTTTTTACACATACACAAAACATCTCTAGAGCAGTTTACATGTTATGCATGCCTGTTTCAAAGGGACACAGCTAAAAAAATGAATTACACATTTCAAAGGAATCCATAAGTTATCATTGTTTGCCTTGAACAAATAAAAAGATGGTATTTTCACTTGCTAATAGTGATGGAGACTAGGTTGTGGTGCAAACTCAATGATATCCCTTGTCTTATTATCAAACCCCTTTTGATAACAGGCCTCTTGCCTTGTCTCTACAGAACCTGTCAGTAGAGACCGAGCTGCAGGCAGCCAATGGAAAGAGAGTAAAAGCCCTGGACATCTTTGCGTATGCTCTGCAGTTTTTCAAGGAGCAGGCACTGAAGGTATCTAGCCAGTGAGATAATGTTATACTGTGAAAAAATATAATTGCTAACTTTCTAGCTCTAGTGTTTTGCAAATGTTTACCATTGTGTAATTATATTTAGTTTTACTCATAGAGCAACATTGAGTGTAAGAAGATATTTGCTGATAAGAAAAAAATTCTGAATTATAGTGAATTAATTTTTAGAAAATGCATCTGTTTTTCAAAGACTCTAGCTCAACTTTCTGGAAAAAAAACAGTCAGACATTTTGTTTACAGGTGCTTAAAAAAAAAACTATACGCTTCCCAGCAGTGCATGTGCAATATGTATTAGAGAACAAATACAAATAGGAGAAAAGGCACAAAGTAAATTGCCACAATAAAGCCACAGTTGCACATTAAAAGCTACAGTGAAAAGATTGGTTTTAAGAATGTCTCTGTGTTGCAGTGTTTTATGGGATTTGGGCAGTAAGTTCTAAAGACGTGGTGCTACACATTGGAAGGTTCCGTTTCCAATTATAAAAAATATACAATTATTTTAAAAGCGTCTGAAACGAAGACTAGGTATTGGGTTTATGACCCTTACTGTAATAGCTACATAATAGGGGTTTTCAGGGATGCACGTGTATTACTAAAAAGACCATGACATGCTATCTGAATGGCTTTTGTCACATGTTGTGTTGTCTACTTCAGGAGCTCAGCGACCAAACGGGCTCCGAGTTTGACAACGCGGATGTGAGATGGGTGATCACTGTGCCGGCCATTTGGAAGCAGCCGGCAAAGCAGTTTATGAGACAGGCAGCTTATAAGGTAAAACCTTAAACAGTAGAGAAACAAAGGACAGGTTGGCTTGCTAAGAAAGCTTTTGACTCTGTGTTTTGGCTCATTAAGCATTTATAAATGCACAGTAAATATTCCTGGAAAGTGTGACTTTTGTGACTGCAAAGAAATCAGAACCCGCTGAGATCGGCCCACTGCACTTTTTTTTGCACTGGCTTCCAAAAGAATTGCATAGAAAATGTACTGGAATTCGGGAATACTGATGATGCCCTCAGCCTCACCACAGAACATAAGAACATTAATTAATTATTAACATTGATTATTCTACATTGATTACTTAGTCTCTGGGAAATAAATTGCCTAGTGACGGGTAAAGAAGAAATGAATTCTTGCTCAAGCAGGTCTCTTAACCTTTCATGATTCCAAGCTGCTCAAAAAAGGCTTCTGACAGGTCAAGTCCAGTCTCCTTTGGTTCTTTGGATTCAAAAATTTCCCAATTTAAATGGTTTGAAAGGTGTTTTTATAAATAGTACAAACATTATAAGAGAAAAAATAAAATTAACATGTAACCCATTTAATAATTTTACGGGTATGACAAATTGGAAAGCAAAACTAATGAAAAGTTATTTTAGTGTATTTAAATGCTTTAGTTGGATCAGGTCAGATGAATTATCTGTGGACATTCTATGCTAGTTGGTTCTTTTTTGAGATTCTTCTTTCTTACCTGAAAGTTAAGGACAAAGTAGGTCACAAAATAGTAAAGCTTTATGTAAAGATGACAAAATGTTCTAAGGTCAAAAATCTACTATTATGATTGTGTTGTAGACATATTTTCATTAAAATGCAAATACTATACACTGAAATTGTCCTGTGTGACTAGTGTTTATAAGTTAATTATCTATTGTGCTAAAAAGGGACAGCATCTTTGGCTCATTTATCTTTTCTTTAATATCTTTGATTCTGTGAGCTTTTCATAAAACTAATCTCTCAGCAATTGCTCATTCATAACGTTTTAGTTTTACAAATCTAATTTTGCTGTAAGGTATACTACCACCAACAGGCCAATAAAAAAATGTTGCCCCCCAAAATACTGCAGGACTCACGTGTCTATGTCGGCATAAAGCAATGTACAGTACATATCACACTAAATGTGGGACCCTTCTATAATGGAGGACTCGAGAGGATGTGCCTGAAATGTTCGTCTGGGAAGGTGGGGAAGGCAGTTTTCCTGCAGAATGAGCTCATCATGTTTTTGCATCATTGTGCCACACCCCCTTCTCCTCAGCCAAAAACTGAGCAAGAGCCTGAGCAGTGCCTGATGCTCTGAGTCATCACAACAGTATGAGCTTCCAGAACTCTCTTAGGATTGCTCTCACAACAATGCCCTTCAGACAGCATACAACTGCTGTAAATATTGTGTGAATCAACAGCTGTTGCATACTGTAGAAAGAGTGGTCTATCAAAACATGTAAGAAGAACTTACTATTATTATTTTTGAACTTACATGTTCTTTTTCTTTAGCGTTTTTCAGATACATTTCTGAGCTGTGCAGAATCCAAGAGAAGAGTGAGCTAGAAAATCTGTTTTTGTTGGCTTGGTTGTTTAGCTTAATTGAAATTCAGACTAACTTTCCCATAATCGTTTGGACATTGGTTAAGACTAGTGGAACTGCTCAAGGGCTCATTCATTGCAGTCCTGTGCTTGAGAGCCGAATGGATCCTGTGATCTACACTTGTGCACAGCTGGGCAAATGCCACTGTTATTAGGTGGTTTGAAGCTTGTCAGACAGTCCTTGGCTTGTCAGGGCTCCTGGAATAAGGTCAGTGACTGTAGCCCAGTCCATCCAGACACAGCTGTGCCAGTTGTCACATACTGTAAGCTGAACTGACATTTTCCAGAAGGTGCTGACTCAGTTTTAATCTGTTCGGGTGGCATGCACTAAAAAAGATAAAGGCAGCAGCAGATGTAGAAACGAGAGAAGAGATGCTCAGAAAGAACATTTGCAAAAGAGATTTCCAGCTAAAGCTGTCTTTTCTTTTTGATAAGCTGTGTAAAACACTCCCTTCTCTTTTGACATGATAGGGTTTTTCTTTTATATGGTGATTTCATATCATTGGCATTGCATACATTTGTCTTAAAATACTCACTTTGAAATAAAGGCACCCATTCGTTGCCTTTTTACATACGGTGTTTGAAAATAGGGCAAGACTTTTTATGAATATAAAAGCCCCTAACCTGAAGCAGATTACACATGCGCTTTTAAAATAAAACACTCATGGAGTATTCTGCATGATGTCATTCTAGGACAAGAACTGCATCACTGCGTCACATGTTGTTGTGGACACTACAGAACAAAATGAAAGCCATAATCTGTCATTATTTTGTGGACTACTCCTAGAATTCACAAAGCTTTCCTGGGTTCAGCATCAATTATAAATCCTTACAAAGTCTTCTGCAAAAATGATCATCACTCACATTACCCTGTACTCAGTTATAATGCAGTTTATTCTGCACAAAGCACATTTTATACATTTATCTTTCCGAAACATTACTTCATCCTTCGCACACTAATTAAGTGCTACTGCTCTTCATTATGGGATCTGCAGTGGGAGCCCTGTGGTCACTGCAGTGTGTTTCTGCAGTGACTCAGCGTCTTTGCTGTCATGCTTCTACTCCACAGGGGAGAATCGCAATCCTCTTCTTACCTCCATGAACACAGGCAGCACATTAAGGCATGATTCATTTTTATACTCACAGGCAAAAGTTTAGAAAGCTCTAGAATAAAAATGAGAAAAAAAAACAATTTTTCCCCCAAACAGTAATTGTATTGCTTGCCAGAGAGTAAATATATCTATGACAGAAATGTTATGTGTATTAATAATGACAAGACAAACACTATGCTACAGACAACAAAACGTCCACACAAGTTACTATACATACAGTGTTTACAAACAAGGTGTTTTAGAATCCTAACATTCTAATCACCGTGAAAAAAACCCAGACTTACCAAGTATTAAACTCTTAAATAATGCCTACAGAGGGCAAAAAAGCTGCTTTCTAAATACATGCAATACAACCTGCAGTTAAATCTCTTTCTCTGCACCCCGGATGCCACAAAATAAATGGGAGCCTATTTCCCTATTCTAAAAATGCACCCACAGGCAGGAAAGAGGTCTCTAACCAAGTTTTCTTTTACCCAGGAAACCAAAGTTCCCTAAAAAACAGAAAATAGCACGCTCTCTCTAGCAAGGTTCAGATACTTAACTCCAGTCAGGTTTGGTCTGGATGATCATGAAGTAGGTGCTCTCGCCTGGTGCAAACTTCAAGTTCCAATTCCTCTGTTGTGGTTTGACCTTCTTTCTCTCCTCTCTTCTTTCTCTTCTTGTTGTCTCTTCTCCTCTCTGTGGTCTTTATGTGATCTTATATGGTGTGTTTCCGGACTGCTCATTGACAGTCATTAACCCACAACTTAATTACCTAGGTATACCAAGGTAAACTTTACTTTTTTTTTGGGATCGGGGAGCCCCCCACATCTCAGCAAACATCCCCTCTGCTTTGAAACTAGAAGTGTTTATACTGCCAGGTGTTACACACTATCTCAACTCTTAGAGACACTTCCTAGTCACCTATAGCTGTAACAGTATCATATTAATTTGGTTTGTTATACTGTGTACAATGAGAAGTTGATTTACCTATCAAAGGTGTTACAGAGAGGGCACATTATTTTTTTAATTCCACTCTCATTGTGTAAGTATGGAGGACATGACGTAGACATACTGTATACTGAACTCTGATAATGACAACCACTCTGCACACTGAAGGTCTGAGGTGACAGGTTGCGTGCGAGAAACAATAGTTATGATGTGTGTTTAAGTGCCTTGGGGCTTCAGGTATGCCCTTTGGAACATGTTCTGCAACTCTGCTTCACAGCATATCCTATACACAGACAATTCACGTGTTCAAAAAAATCCCAGTGACACTCATGGAATCTCATTTTCAATCAATTTCCAATCTCAATAAATCATAGCCATGTTCAATGCAATTACGTCTTCGGGGGGAAAAATGAAAAGAACTGAAAGAAACAATTTGAATTTAAATGTTTAATTATAGTAATTATTTATTCTTTGTAGTTACTACTGTGTGAATGATAAAAGCAGTTTTTCAAGATGGACAGCAGCAGGTTTTTTCCTTTGTGTTCCCTTTTCTATGCCAACCGATTGATGTTGACAGGATTACAGAATGAGATTGTCATGAATGATTATTTCGGTAGTCAGAAGATAGACAATAGGGGTTCATTTGTTTCCTCAAAATAAAACTATGTCATCAGACTCTTCACTATCTCTCACAGCTGTACCTCATAGCCATCAGATATTTATTAGATATTGACTTAATTTTTGTGTTCTAGAACATCAGTTGAGAAGTTGATTGAATAAGTATTAAACCCATATTTATGACATTCAAAGTGAAGTGTAGCTTTAGATTCCTATTAGTTTCATCAGTTATTCTGACAGACAAACAATTTACCATTCTGCTTTGGTAAGTGGGTATGAATACGGAATTATGTCATGTTCAACTTAATGCGTGCTCAGTTGGACTGAAAATGAAAATGGGAACGAGCACAGTCCTGAATGTCCTTGGATGAAAAAAAAACTTTTGTTAAATTACTGTAAAGTTTCATGCTTTGTTAAGATTCCTTATTACGTCTGGACATTCTTGGAAGTATTGCAATCTAAATTATATTTCAGTAGGGTATTAACTGTAAAATTTACAAAAAATAGAACTAATTAAGAGAATTTCAAAATATCATATCTTGCTTTTTACAACAGATTCATCAATACAGTTGGTAGGCATTGAGAATTAGTCATATGTATATGATATAGAAATGGCAAAATATGATTATTTATAAGTGTGTTAACTAAATAACTTTTCAAAAATAATTTGTTCTGAGGGGCTCATTACTTTGTAAACAATTGATATGTAATGAATTATGTGTCATGAGAATTAAATTGTTAAATTCTTCAAATACTTCTGTTTTTGTTAAACTGGACTTTATTGTGTTGCAGTTTCCATATCGAGAGGATTAAGATTTTGTTGATGAAAACAAACTTTAAATGTTGAACCTGTTTTGTTTAAAATTACACTTAAAGCAACTGAACCAGAGTGTACACAGAGGATTTCTTTTGAGCTTCTACACAAAATAAAAAGTGCTGTTTTCCACATGGATCCAACCTCTTGTTTTCCTGTTTTCCTCCTGTTCAGTCTGGCCTGGTTACCCCTGACAACCCTGAGCAGCTAATCATAGCCCTGGAACCGGAAGCTGCTTCCATCTACTGCAGGAAGCTCCGCCTCCACCAAATGATTGACTTGAGCTGCAAGACGGCTGTGAATGGCTGCAGTCCAACAGAGAATGTGGGAGCTGGGATGACACAGGGTAAACTAGTGTGTGGGGCATTGAATAATGACTAGATGATGAGATGTCTTTGTAGACTTCACAGTCCAAATCACAGTCAGCACCTGGGGCGCCCACTAGATAAATACCATTGTGGAGCAAAGAACAATATCCATATTCCAGTTTATGCTGAGATGAGATTTGCATGAGAGCTTGCATCTTACAGTGAGAAGTACCTGTGATGGAAACCATTTTCAGAATGATTTTAGAATGGGTCAGTCACTTTTCATAAAGTGGGGCTTTTCAGAAAATATTTTTTGTAATTTGATTGTAGGGATTTATATAGTAATATACCCAATGATGATCCATAAAGGCATCATTGATGCTTTCTATGAGGTTTGAATTTGCAACATCTTAATACAATCAAATTTTTTTGTTTGTTTCCATAGTCCTCTCTGACTAAATAACACATCATTCTCAGTATTACAGCTTAGCAGTCACTGGATACAGTAATTAACAGGATCCTAATACCTTCCTGTATACAATATCAACTGTCAGACTTCCATGTCTGTTTAGTTGCCTCTAGAATGTGTATGTTTTTGTGAATACTAGCTTATGAATCAGTTGCTAAACAGTGCATATGCGTATTAGTGCATTGCAGGTGTTTGTTTTACAAGGTGGGTATAGAAGTACAAATGAATCATGTTGTATGCAAACCTTGTGTTTGCAGAAGAAATGGGAAGCAACCATTGTACATTGAGACTTGTAAAATATTATAGCCCCCCTAGAAAAATAATTATTATTAACATTTGCATCATGTTTTATAAAATAGTTGTACCTATTATTTTACTTTAAACTTGCATGATTCTTACTTCATTAACACTCCCAGTTTTATTGAATGATGCATGCTTTCTGCTGTGTCAACAGCTGCAAACCTCTAACGTACTTACCAAATAAGTGCACCAGTTGCTATATTCCAAAAGTTCTTAAGTGAAGCTCCATGTGCCTCCTAACATTTTCTTTCGGTGTTGTTCATTAAGAGTTTAATGAGAATAGGAGGTCAATTGAGGTTCATCCGAGTTGCAAAGCTCCCTTCAACACTGAAATTCAATTAATGTTTTTGCCAGCAGTGAAAGCAGCAACAGCAAATCCATATGGGAAGACTTTTTCTAATAGTTGTCACTAAATTGCAATTTAGTTTTTAGGATGTTGTGGTCATAGGACATTTTCTATGACCGGACAAAATAATGGGCAGTTTTTTGCATTTGAGGTTAAAAACATAATGCACTTGTGTCAGTTTGCTCTGAAATCTGGCCTAGTTAGTGACTGAATTGCACTTTTATTTGCAATTAGTCGCATGTGTTTTATTTGTTACTTCTGTTGTTAGTTCAGAAATTTGCAAGCTATCCCAATACCCAATAGTTCTGCCATGCTTGCAAGTAATAATGCTTTTTTTATTTGCCTGCAAATATTTTTGCATGCTTAGTTTATTTTAATCACAGTGGTCTTTATTTTGATGATTGCTACATTTAAATAACTGTATGAAATGCTTCTAGATTGCATTTATTAATATTATATAGGAAAAAAACAATAGATTGAGATTAAGAATAACCTTTATTTTGGTATTATTTCCAGGGTTTGGAGCTAGATATATAAAGAATATCATGCAAAATAAATGTTGCTTTTGTCTTTTTATTAATTTATTAGTTATACTGTGGAATGTATGTTCGTGTTTAATATGGTGAAACAGAACTAAATTGTTTATGGAATGAAGCACAGTGTCTTCATAAATAATATCTTGCACATGAGGTGAAAATTTGAACTGAACTCCAAACTCCAGGGCTAAACTGAGTTGGTGCAGTTTAGCCCTTGAAGGTTCACTTCTGTACATCACATTTTAATGAAATAACCATAACATCATCAAACTGCTCCAAAGTGTACTTACAGTCTGTGGTAGAAAGGTTGCCTAAACTGACAATCTGAGTAGTTAAAGATTATATAGCCGGTAGAATTCTGATGCTTTTATTATTCTTTAGATTCATTCTCTTATTGGTTTATCTAAATTCATTGTTCATCAGTAAGAATATGTCAAAGATTAGTGTCTAATCAAAGAATACCAAGAAGTGCAAGTTAATAGGGCCTTTGTTCTTAGAAAAGATAGTTACCAGCCTCAAAGTAAAAGTAACGACAGAGATGATTTGATAAGACAACAGCCACTGTCTGAATGTTGTGGTTTAAGAAGGTGTGCTTTTGGTAGAGAATTGATTATAGAGTGGCATGTTCAGAACTCCTCAAGACTAAAAACAAGAGGTTCTGCCTTAAGGTACAGCGCAGACCTACGTGTGAGGAGAGTTGATGCAGACTTAATGCTGCCTGAGCCGCCGACTGTTGTTCCCTGCATGGGAGAGCTGAGCAACCTTGACATGGCAGTGATGGCATTCTCACACTGCGCTCTACATCGAGGACTTGAGCTTACACAGCACTGTTATTTAATTCCAATTCCAGTACATTGAGAAATTGATCTGTATTAAATTTGATATTTTTGGCCACATTTCCAATTGCTCTGGTAGCAGGAGGCAGAAGTGTGGAGTCGCAGTTTGGACTGTAGACATAGAACCACAGTACAAGCTAATGGGTTTCAACCATGAGTGTGACCGTGCTGGTGTACCCGTGAGCATGGCATTTCACTCAGATTGCTTTAGTGCGAAGCCCAGCCATATAAATGAGTAGAGATGTAAAGTGCTTTGGATGAAAATGTCAACTGGAGTAAATTAATATCCATCTGTTACATTTCACTCTCTTGCCTGCTTTTTTAAAACGCAGCTTTTCAGCACTTGCCATCTTGCATTGAGTCATGTTCTTTCTATCAATAACCAGCTAAGGAGCATGTCCGGCGCAATCGGCAGAGCCGCACCTTTTTGGTGGAAAATGTCATAGGAGAGCTTTGGTCGGAGCTGGAAGAAGGTAGAGTGTTCCTTTATTGCTTTTTACATCACTCATCGTTTGCTCTTGCTGGTTCTTAGCTTGCTGGCAATGACACTGTGGTCTTTTCATAAATGACCACCAGTCACCCTGCTTAATAACACTTGCAGATTAACAATCTGACAAAACCACATTCTTTGTTTCTCTCACATTTCTGGTCTTGTGTGACTTTGTGTAACTGCAGTCCAATATGGTCAAGGGACCATACGTGGTCGGTGGATGTTCTTTATTAGACTATAGTGTCCAGCATGTTGTGGAGAAAGGATGGCTTCTCATTAAATAAAAATGTTCCTTGTTGTACTGGTAAAATTATAATGTACATTTGTACTGTAATTGGATGAAGTGATTCTTATGATGAGGAGATGGCTGAGATGCAATTCCATTACATAATGTTTCAAGACAGGTGGTGAGGACACATAAGAAAGCACTAATATATTAGCCCTCAGATTTTTAGAAGAAAAAATGTCTGGGGAAAAATGTCTACCACACCAAACTAAACTGAGTGCACTGCCAGGAAATATCATTACAGATTTTACTGGGAAAAATGTTCCCGATACTTTGTAAAATAATCTACAACTAGATTTAACTGCGTGAAAACAATCAAATGAAATAAAAAACAATCAAAACAAAATATCAGATGGAATGTTGATGGGATGGAAGCAGGTTTTCTCTGAAGTGTGATAGAATGAAAAATTATAAAGTATTGTTTAAACTCCCCATCTTTCTAAAATTCTACTCTGGTATAAATTTGTACATATGTGAATACAGTTCACTTGATTTAATTATGAAGAAAGACTCTGTATGGTAGAGCATGGGTCTTTTGTACAAATTGACATGTTTTCAATGGGTCAGTGCATGGCACAGCTGTTGTGATATTCAATTTTTATACTCCAAAATAGGTAGAAAATGGGTTTAATAAATGACTTTGTTCTCCTTGTGTATACAGATGTAGCAGTACAAGAAACGGTATATTTTCTTTGTTGGTTTTATGCAATTCCTGGAGCTGTATTTTTTTTTTATAAAATAAAATTGTGCATTTATCAATGGTATGAAATGAAAGATCCATGGATATGTTTTGCTTTGAGCTATATACTGTAATTGGTGATAGGTTCTGTTTTTAAACCAGTATTATAAAATATTCTGCAAATTAAAAATTAAAATCTGGTGTGACTTTTAGTGTGCTATTTTTAGGTTTGTATCATCAGCAGTTGTATTCTACTTTGTCTCTCAGTATTCTGAAATGTAGTAAGAGGAAACATACTTAAAATTAGAGGAAGGGTGTCAGAGGAATCATGGTATGGACCTGTTGCGGGGACTCATCTCCATTTAAACAGGAAACTCCAGTCTTGGACTGCATGATACACACTAGTGTGTCAATTTGACCTGGATAATCCCAAATGATTCCATTCTTGTATGTATTTAGGATTATTTGATACTAGGAGTCTAGTCCTGATCATGTTATAAAACGGCTTGATCTCCATACACTTATTACTTTATTCTTTCATGCATAGTGTGTTACTTAATGTCCATCTAGAAGAGAACACAGTATAGAAAGCTTAATGTACTGACAGGAGAAACCCCAAACAATTCTTTTTTAGAACTCCAGGCAAGAGGTAATAACTTGGAGGAAGTTCTACAAGTGTGCTTGGGCAGTCCAACTCTAGTCCTGGTGCGCCAGTTCGTCTGAAGGCTTGCTAGGTCTCTAAAGCAGTACCAATACCTAGTCCTACAGCATTAATCTGAAGAAGATTATTCTGGAGTTACATCAATTTATTGGTATAATTTTATATGTTTGTTGCACTTTTATAATACAAATAAATACCAATGTATAGACCTATTTGTGCCAAGTAGAACTGAAATCCATTAGCAGGATCTAGTTTGAAGACATATTCATCTTTGGGATGCTTTCAGATAGAAAGCTGCCACTCGGCAATCATTTTATACCAGATCAAGCAAGACTTTTCTTTGTCTGACTGTATGTCTGTCTGCTTTTCTATAGGCGATCGCTATGTAGTTGTGGACTGTGGAGGAGGCACAGTGGATCTGACAGTTCACCAGATCAGGATGCCTGAAGGTCATCTGAAGGAACTTTATAAGGCTTCAGGTAAAGAATGCCTTGGGTTCTACCATTTTTCAACATGCTAACAAGATTTGTGCGTCATCACAATTACAGCTCTTGTTTTTTCTAATACAGTGTTCTACAGTGTTTCCTGGCTTTTCACACTATAAATTTCAGCTGCCTTGAATAAGCATTGACTACAATATTTGCATCAAAAAAGCTTTCATGGGCTCTGCTCTGGATTTTCCAGAGTCCCTTGGTACTGCATTCTAAACCCCCAAACCCTGCAACAGTGTCAGAAAAGACCCAACCATGTGCTGGGTGGAGGGGTGTAGAGGCATCATCCTCAGCACCCCATTTCTAATTCCAGTTTGTTTTTCTGTTTTTATTTGCAGGGGGTCCTTATGGCTCTATTGGTATAGACTACGAATTTGAAAAGCTACTGTGCAAGATCTTTGGGGCAGATTTCATAGAACAGTTTAAGATCAAGCGACCGGCAGCCTGGGTGGATCTAATGATTGCGTTCGAGTCTCGGAAGAGAGCAGCAGCACCAGACAGAACCAACCCCCTGAACATCAACTTGCCCTTCTCCTTCATTGACTACTACAAGAAGTACCGGGGTCACAGTGTGGAGCACGCGCTGCGCAAGAGCAAGTGAGTGTCCTGGGCTTCGCTGCTCGTCTCGGGAAGAGCTCAGAAAGAATCACCGACCGCATATGCAAATTACTTTCATAAAACACCTCAGGGAGGACTTTAGGATGTGTCCTGCTCTCCAAAGACCAGCTTCCTTAATCCTTAGCATGACATTTTGGGGTTCCTGCCTAGCTTTCACTTTTTGCTAAATTTTTTGACTTGTTCATTGGTGAAATGCTTCAAGAGTAGAACACACAAAATGATTAGCTTGTTATCTTCCGTCCTTACTTTTAGTTTACAGTTGTAGTTTTTTTTATAACTATTCAGATTGTGCCTGTAAAGATGGCGGGGGAGGTAAATACAAAAATACACTTATATATTAATCAAACCTGTCTTGTATAGCTAATGTCTTAAAAGCGAACTGTCTGTCATTAGCCAGTCTGTGATTACACATTGGCTTTATGAGACCTTATCTGTAGGAATAATAAAAATAGCAAATAATAGCTCCTTCTACATGGTGTTAGTTAGATTGTTAGATTTGTTAGTTTAGAATCTTTGAATAGAGAATCAATCCCTAAAAGCCTAGCTTTTAAGTTCTTCCCCAGAGCTGTGAAGACACCCTCCACCTCCTAGTTTTATGTTTACAAAAATATCGAATGGAAGCTGTAATGAGAGCTCAGTACCCTGTCAGCACTAATACAGAGCTTTCTGGCTGTGTCAGATTTCATGGATGTTGCCAGTGATTCCATCAGAGCATTCACAGATGCTTAGCTTTTCAAACAAAAAGCGTTTCTTCTTATTTTGGCACTATGGCATATTAACCTTTTGCTATTGTTATGGTACCGTGGATTAGATTTCCTCTTCTCAGCCACCCCTTTAAATACAACTTTGTAGAATCTGTACTTTTGTTATTTAATATCTGACTTGTTAAGTATGTTATTGTTTGTGTGTAGCTCTCAATATCTACTGTTAGTAGACATGAAGCGTTTCTGACACAAAAGCTTCTAAAAAAAGCAAATTAATGGCTTGTGGGTCTATGAATTGTTGAAGCACTATGCACGGAAGCTTTTGCTTGCTTCAGTATTTTGACTTTTTTTACACAAAATATTCCAAAATTCTATTTCATGAGCTTGCAACAAGGATTGTAATGACAGGTGAAGACCAATTATCTGCTTTGCTCCTGTCTGAAAGTATACATAGAGCCATAATTATAACTCTTCTCTAGCCAATAATATAATATATTATGCTAAACTTGTGGAAAACTAGGACTTACATTAAAGCAAAGACAGATGTTTCAGCTGTGATATTCAAGAGATGTCAGTGTGTGATATTATCAGTCTTTTGGCCAGCACTATATGAAGTGTATGCAGCTGGATATTTTAATATCTTTCTGTTACCTTCACCTCTTCTGTTCATTTATTTTCTGATATTCCTTATTGAAATATTAATGAACATTTACTACACTGAGTTAAGCCTATCTGATATCCATGTCTTGTGTTTGCTGACTTCTGTAAATCATTATACTTTTGCCGATTATTGATCCTATGTTAGTAGAAGGGTATCATTTCCAGACATTTTGCACAATAACTGGAAATGTGCGATCTGATAATAGCACTTTGAAGTAGCTTGGGAGATGAAGAAAGCCTATAAAACATTAGCCAGACTCCATGTCATGTGATATAGCATTCGGATATGGAGTTGTTCTTATTAATTCATTGCGTGTTTATCAAGTTCATTAATCCTGCTTTAGTTTTAATTCCAGGTAATATTTACAATGTATTTGTCCATTTTATTCATATTTTATTTTTTTTAGATATTGTTTCCTTGTGAGCACTGTGTTAACATATATGTGGTATTATCGGAATCTTTAAACATGCTGTTGAAGATTAACTTATTGATAAATAGTTCTTTTTATAAAATCGACAATATGTAGCCTTTCCGAGAGAAGGTGTTATTCAGAATTTCCGATAATTAAAAACCTAAACAATGTAGGATTCTTGTATTGTATATGTTTATCAGCAAAGTGCCACTTGTTTCTTCCCGAAACATTGTCTTTTTAATTTAATTTCTTTTATAGTGTGGACTTTGTGAAATGGTCATCTCAAGGAATGTTGAGAATGAACCCAGATGCAATGAACGCCCTTTTTAAGCCCACCATTGACCACATTATACAACATCTCAGTAAGTACTCAGTGTAATCTCTGAATGCAAGACTAAAAAATCGTACTCCTAACTGGTCTGCATTTATCCTCTTAGAATAAAGAAATTGTCACATATATATTGTTATAGAAAATGTAACATTGCAAATATGCTAATTTTATATTTTTATATAATAATTTTAATTTTCTTAACACCCCCCCCCCAAAAAAAAATATTTTCTACTTATTCTATATTTTTTGTACATGAAAGTATATCTGTCTTAGTTTTCAGATTGCATCTTGGCCAAGGGATGCAAAGAGATTTTCTGCAGTACTCTACCTTAAAATTGAAAATGGCAAGTCTGGGTAGAAATTCAAACAATGTAATCTGTAGATGGTTTCCCTCTTTCCCTACCAAATATAAACCCTTCTGATGTATTAATAGTCTAACACATTAATGAAGTGTGATGTACATCCAGTTTTTAAATCCAGTTCTAAATAATATGTGAATTTAGAATTTGAGAGATGATTATATGGCCCAAGTTTGTTTTCACAAATTTGAGCAAATAGGTTTTTTTTTCTGTTTACACAAGTCAGTCTAAATTAAATGTACTTTATCCATTAGAGGATATCTGAACTAACAACTTCTAAGAAAAGTAAACCATGCTGGACTGAATTGTATTAAGCAAAATGTTCTCTGGGTCACTTATGGTATCATGTCAGTCCTTTTGTTCCCTCTCCCAAGACAAGGTTGGCTGTTTTCATACACGTCCTTATTTCAAGCAAAACTTGAAAGCTCAAAGATCTTTGTTGTCCTGTGTCGTCTCAGCTCCAGGTGTTTGTGTTTTCTACCCCAGGTGAACTCTTCCAGAGAGCGGAAGTTTCCAACATCAAATTCTTGTTCCTTGTCGGTGGCTTTGCCGAGTCTCCCCTGCTGCAGCAGGCCGTTCAGAACATGCTCCAGGGGCGCTGCCGCATCATCATCCCGCACGACGTGGGGCTCACCATCCTGAAGGGCGCCGTGCTGTTCGGCCTGGACCCCAGCGTCATCAAGGTGCGCCGCTCTCCGCTCACGTACGGCGTGGGGGTCCTGAACCGCTTTGTGGAGGGCAAGCACCCCGCGGAGAAGCTGCTGCTGAAGGACGGCACGCGCTGGTGCACCGACGTCTTCGACACCTTCATCTCCGCCGACCAGTCCGTGGCGCTGGGCGAAACGGTCAAGCGCAGCTACACGCCAGCCAAGCCCTCCCAGCTCGTCATCATCATCAACATCTACTGTGCCGAGCAAGACGAGGTCGTCTTCATCACCGACCCCGGGGTGAGAAAGTGCGGCACCCTGCGCCTGGACCTCACCGGCACCGAGAGCCCGGCCGCGCGCCGTGAAATCCAAACAATTATGCAGTTTGGGGACACTGAGATCAGGGCCTTGGCCGTTGATGTGGCCACCCAAAAGAGTGTCAAGGCCAACATCGACTTTCTCAACAATTAACATCTGCCAACTCCGCAGCCTCCAGCTCGTTGCAAAGCTTGCAAGACTTGTAAGGTTCCAGCCATTATGGGGCGGCAGGGTGGGGTCACCCATTAGAAAGCTATATTATTTGTCAGTAGTCAAACGGTTAAGACATTACACTCCCTTTAGACATTGCAATCCAATAGGTTTAATTGTACCTCGAGTTTTCACAACAGCCATTTTAAATTGAAGCATTTACATGGGAATGTCTGAGACTCACTGTCCCCTACTCTTGGACCAAACTTTTGCTCATACTTAAACACATTCAATTATCCAACACTGTTAATTATGAGCCTTGATGTTTTGTTAAAGGTCATGCTGACACAAGCCCCCTGAAACACCTGTTTGGGATAGTTGTAGGCTGCTAAATGTGATTTACTGTGTGCAGCACATCAGATTACGTGTTGGACTACTGCATTGATTACTGCACTGATTGTGAGGATGGGTTTGTTTGATAGCCCTTTATTTCAATTCTCACAATCCTCCTGTAATATTCTCAACATCACTGGTATGCATATTGTTCAGAAAACACACGCCTTCATGAATCCTAGAATGTGAAATGTTGTTTAAGACAATACGAAAACTGAAAGCTAATTAGAGAATGCTGCTAGCTGTACTTGTTTTCAACATAGCCATAGCAATATGCTTGCAGTCTTTGTTTCTTTATGCCTGCCACGTGAGGGAAAAAAAGACACTATTTGCTAAGCAATTACTGCCTTTTTATTTGGAATTCCAGAGCCTGTTGTAGTGACGACCTTGGAATCTATGATTAAAAAATACTTATTTTTGTTTATTAGTGTATATACAATGTTTAAAATATTGTAATATTTTTTTAATTAGTATTTTAGCAGCTTTAGAATTTGATAGTGCGCTCGCTTCTGTGGATACTGTTATATTAATCTCACCAGCCTAGTATGAACCTTGAAGCTGAAATGTATTGATTGATGAAATGAAAGCATGAGTGACATGGGCATTACTTTAAGAATATATGTTTGGAGCTTGAATACCTGTGCCCTTAAATTTTTTACGGTCTTTTTTTCCAAAAAGAAATCCTGCTGAACTTGAGGTTGATTTTTAGGGAATTACATTTGTAATTTACCACACCTTTTTCGCCTGGGAGTCCACACATTTTGGGGGTATTTATGTTAATCTCTTATGCCAAAATGAATTCAGAGCTTGATGTGGAATAAAATGATTATTGCAATACAAGAGATCATTGTAATATAGGATCTCACAGCTTTGTTCTTGAAAGAGAAAATAACATCAAGAAAAAATGCATCACCACTCACAGGACAACTGTCCAAGCAGATTGATAAATGTCTTCTAAATATAATGTATAATGAATGTAACATAAAATGTTAATAATACAGCTTTGGTAGGTAAAACACATTTTTTTCATTCTTTTTTATAGTTTGAACACAAACTGGTATTTGCACTGGATTACTTTTGAAGGTATACAAAAGATGAAATCATTATTTTTTTTACTAAATTGTTTAGTTTACCTAAAAAAAATTTTTTTTTTTAAAGATTGCGGTCAACTTATCATTTATGAATCAATGGGTCCTTCATTAGATATTAGACTTATGTGGTAGTGTTTGGCACAGGTACCACAACTTGGCAACAGCATTTGTCCAGTTGCGTTCAAATGAACTCTGACAGGTCTTGTTATACACATTTTCAGGTACCATGTGTGCACTTGTACTAAATAATGGAAAAGTAGAGAGAAGAGAAGATTTTGTTTGCAGATCTGGCTTGAAAATTAATGGTTACAGCCTCTGTGATTTATACAGCACCAACTAGATTTACAGATCATGTGCTAATTAGTGGTGCTGTTGCAAACCTGTGAACTTGAGGTACATTTGGCTCTGAGACAAAACTGGACATTCTCTTTGTAAGTTGTGAGAAATATAGTAACAAGCAGTATTTATATTTACTCCAATAAGAACTTTTAAAAATGCAAACATTTAAATGAATTTCTTGTCTTAATTTGGACACTTAAATGTGGTTCTGTTTCCAAAAACATAGGAGTAAGTGCCAGTACAGTATGTGCTGTCTTTAAACTTTCTTATTTATTTACACTTTTCTTTTCTTATTTCTTTACATATGTTCCTCATGGACCATCTGCAACTGATAAACTTCGTATTGATAAAAAAATATACACTCTTTACAAACTAAAAAACGAAGACTATGCAGTGTAACAAAATGTCAAAGTCAAGACCTTGTATTGATACAGAAAATAACCTTTCAATAATTGAAAAATAACCTAATATTACATATAGAGTAAAGATTCCATTTCTGAGAATGTTGTCCTTACTCATAGATGCAAACAGCCTTGAGTCTTTTCAGATTGGGATTGCTGGCAGTTATAGCCATTATCTACTTTGCCTAGTTTCTGTATGCTTCGGGCCAGTCTAGGATCAGGGTTTTCAGTCTTGACTTTTTCATCTGTAGAAATTCAGTTATTGGCTCGCCTCTGGGGTGAAGCTATAGTCACTGAGCCTGCAACTACTAGGTATCGTATCACATACCTAAGGAAAAGCACCTTCACTTCTGGGTTTCCTGTTCCTAAGCAGCTCAGGTAGGCCCACGCCACAATAGCGTTATAGCATGTTTGAAAGTATATGTAAACAACTAAAATTGTTTGTCTTTTTATCTCCATATGATGTTACTAAGCATTCAGTCTGTGAAGACAGCAGATTACAGAGTGTTTTTTTTTTCCTTTTGGAAATCAACTTTGATGAGTTGACAGTCTGGATTAGTTTGTGTGATTAATTATCTACCCATGTGTAACGACTATTTGTAGGACTAAAATATATCACAAAGGTGTACACTTTAGTTTCATGAGAATTAAAGTCTAATGACTCCAAAGCATCAGTTATTAATGCACCTCACATCTTTAGTCACTTTGTCTAAATTATTTACTGTATAAGTTGATATCAGATTTTTCAATTAAAACCCGTTAAAATGTTACTGTACATTTAGTAGATGAATACAAGTTTAAGCATTGCATATTGCTTATTTTTCCATTGTTTTAAAAAGAGTATAACCTTTTCTCCCCTCCCCCCCACAAAATTGGTTTTTTTTTTACACAATTTTAGATGGTTCTTGGGCTTTAAGATTGTTATTCTTTAAAGATTTATTTTAAATTCAGTGTGCATATGCTTTTATATACATTTTACAATTTATTACAGTCTTTCCACTGGTACTTTTTGTGAAATCTGAATATTTTGTTTTGTTCTGCTAAGTACATTTTCTCAGTATTTTTACAATAGGTTGTGCATATGTCTAGTCATAACATTATGGTTTTTAAGAATAGTCTCTTCTTAAAAACTGCTTAGCTATTATTAAGATCAATTAACAATTAAAAATAACGAAAATGTCTTTAGAAATGAAGCTCTAGGCTTTGAAAGGATTGTAAACAAAATAATTAGGAAGTCTTGAATTTGCAGAAATGTTTTTTAATTGAGACACTGCATTCTATTACCTTCAGTTTTATTGGATTAAAACCTAATTAAAACCTAATGGGATATTGTTTGAAGATGTCAATACAGAATGTTTTTTTAATTTTTATTCACTCATACAAATAATATAAAAATCATCTATAATTGTGTTTTGTCTAGAAATTACCTTTTAAAATATCATCAATGGTTTACAATGCTGTAGTTTTTAGTTCAGCATTAGAACTCTCTATATATAGTAAATATGTAATTAAGAGGTGGACATTAATGCCATATTAAAAGAGCAGAGGTCCCTGAGTTAATTTTTTTAATTCTGTTCCAAAATACACGAGCTACTGTACATGTAATGTAATGATGTATGGATTTTGATAGCAAAGCAAAATAAGTCTATTGTAATTATTTTGAAAGTTATATCGTTAGAATTTGAAATGGAAATGCTGCCTTACCTGTACCATAATTTTTTCAGGGACGACACTTTTGTTTACCAGATAGTAATGAAGCAAGAAAATCAAACTATAAATGCATCACACTTCCTTGCACGTTCAATATCTAATTCCACTTTCTGTCTAGTTCAAAATTAATTTAGTCCGTGTGTGTGCCTCAAAATGTCATTTTACATCAGAACCTGTCCCTTTTAATGGCAGGAGATTCTAGGGGTGTTGCAGAATATAAATATATACAGTCTGTTTAAGGTATTTATGTTATTCATAGAACTGTTGGATGGAAAATGTAAGAGTACAGGAAGAAGGATTTTTTTCCAAAGCTTTAAAAAGCAGTAACTGCCTCACATTTCTCTTTTGCCTGACTTATTGGGTGTTTCTCATGCATACAGTAATTGCCAAATGGTGAGGTTATCTGGTGGAGAGCATTTAATAAATGGTAAACCCCACAGATGCTCCTGTGCTTTCTTGTAAGTAAATCTAAGCAGTATATAGCAGCTTCTGTATTGTGATTATCAGTATACAGTATATAGCTGGAGGATTCAGAAGGAAACAGAACATCTCTTCCCAGTGTTTGTGTAGGCACTGATCACTATAATTCAAAGCTTTTGTTCTTACCTCTGTGTAATGGTTGAACCTCAATTCATATTTCCTCATTTATCTATTGTTTTTGTTTTTCGTTTCATCAGGATTATGTAATGCTGGAGCATGAGGTGTGTGGCCTTCATTCCCTTAGTAATGTGAAGCAAAGAAAACTGTTTCAGCTCGTAATTATGCAAAATACATGAGAATACTATACAAGAGCTTTGTGACTTAGAGCAGTAAAAAAAAAAATCAAGCTTGTCAACCAAGTCCCTGAAATGAAAAACAAGTTTATAAAAAGGAATTCCTGTCATAGGCTAAAACGATGTTACACATCCCTTTGCAAATGTTACTTTGGAACACCAAAGTACATATATCATGATGCAGTAGGCAAGTCAGTACTAAAGGGTTGTAGACCCCAGCCTCAGCCAGAAGCCGAGGAAAAGTGTGGTTTTAGTCCAAACTGCCACGCATGATAATCATGACAATCATTTAGATTTTTTTAATCACTAGAAGTGAGTGACATACAGCGGTGTACTGTAATTGTGTGTGAAAAGGGGACTCCAATCTGCATTCTAAAGCTGCTCTATAGTCACTGGTTTTGCTGTTGGTACTAAATGTTTTTTTTCTCTGTGCTGCCCTTTGTGAAATGCTATGCTGTGTCGAAAGGAAAAGGTTTACGCACTGAATGGAGTTGTGGTGCATAATTTCCATTTTCTTGTCCAGTGTGCCATGTTTGTCTTTAATGCATTCAACGCCTTTTGTTAAAACACATTTAAAAGGACCCATACCACTAATCTGCTAGAAATATGACACTGTAATATGGAATAGTTAGACATACTATTACAATGTACGATAATACATATAAGTTAGATATAAACCATGACCATGATAACAGGAAAATAAATTAAAACTGGTCAAGTCATTGAATCCAAAGAAACCACATATTTAGCTTTGGGTACAGTTGCATTGCTACGTAATTAAAGTCAAAACGTGCTCAACGGCACATTTCTTCATTCCTGCTTCCTGAGTCGGATAGTATTCGATTTTATTCTAGTATGCGACTAGTAAAAAAGCATGCAATTTCTTTCTTTTACCTAGGTGCATTTCTACAGTATCATATTCTTTAATGTTTAGCAATTCCTCGAGATCTTCTTTTAATTCGCTTCGCTCCTTTTGAATTACAACCCCTGAGGAATTTGACAGGAGAACTGTGACAAGTCAATGAAAATGGTGCGTGACATCTCTAAAAAAATGTAAGCAATACAGAGAAAGTTGATCAGTATGTAGTGTCTTGTGTTAATAATAAAACGATTAAAAAGGCTCTTTAATTGGAGCTTTCGGAGTTATAGACAGAATATGCTTTAGCCCTAGAAAATGGTGCTTTTGCATACAACATGCAAGCTTTAAAAGGTGAACGCATATACGGAGCAGTAGAGGTTGATAACGCTACATAGTTTAAACTGCGAAGTGCTTTGCAGATTAAGCCCGATTTTGACACTATACTTACTTGCCTGGAGTCTTCCAAATGTAACAATAAACGGAAATACAATCACTACTGAGTGTTCTCCAATTACTTTGTTCTTGTCTTGTTTTGGGCTCTTAACGAGCGAACTTCGCTTGGTTATAACCTTGTTTGGGAATGCGTACAGGAGCCCTTGATTAAGTGCTATTGATGCCTCATTTATGTGCAAGTGTCAACTTTAAAACCGGATTGAATTATTATTACAATTACTGCCCAGATATTTGCAGTAGTAATGCTGTTGTTGATGTGTTGATCGTTATGATACGACTATTTTAAAGATTTTACTTAAGGACGGAAACAGAACATTTACATCACATATCCTAAAGTTATACAAAGTTGTTTTAAACATGTTTCGAATATCATTATATTTGAATATTTTTGAATACTAAACAGAAATACCTAAAATAGGCATATTGTGGGCAATAGTATATTCTCCACAAATACAACTTATTTAAAGATTGTTAATATAGTTTTATCATTTGATGACTTGTTCCACTTTAAGATTCTATAAAGAAAAAAAGCAGTTCGGCGTAACCCTAGAACCTATTGTCGTCAACAGGCTGAAACACCAGGAAGAAAATGTAGAACACGTGTATTAATACTTAATTAGGTTTGAAACAACTGCTAGATTAAGCAAAGAAGGAGGAAAACCGTCACTGCAAACACGTCACAACGTCTATTGTTCATCTGCTGCGAAATACAGTACAAATTATGAATGATTGTGACGTCCGCCCGACGAACAATGAATATGCTTTAGATGCTGAAGATCCGGCAGACTTTACCACCCTAAAATAAAGGTAACATCCTAAGGTGTTTTTCTTTCCATGTACTGTATGACAAAAGGTCAGTCATGTTTTGTGAATTGTAGCCATTGTGAAGTTATTATTAAAAGCATTAATATAACATTTCCATGTATTAATCAAATAGAAACGAATTTGGGATTTCAATAACATTTAGACAGTTGCTTCGTTAGTACGTAAATTGTAAATAATAACAGTTGCATTGATTGAAATGTTAAATTGTGCAATGTGCTATTGCTTTAACCTTGTGTTTGTACTATATGTGAAGCTTCTTTCAAGGCGAAATAAAAAGGTTAAAATAGAAATTATAGTCGTGCCTGTCAGAGATACAGAAGGTAAACCTCTTTGTGGGGGAGGGTGTTAATGAAGAAAGGATTGAATTTCCCTTTTGCAGTGAATACTGCTGCAGTAATACAACCGAGAGCCAATTGCTAGACTGTTTCTAATTCTAGCAAAAAAAACACCCTGAGTCAGAAAACCACTGTAGAAAGACAGCTCAGGAAAGACTCATTTCATATTCCATTGCATAAAATTGTAATATCTGACTATAGAACCATTTAAAGTCCAATAATGTAGTTATCTTTCTTACTAGACCCCATATCCATATATTATGCATGGCTGTCCAACGATCTGCACGTGAGACTTTTGGATTCAGAGAGGACTGCAGGTTCAATACACTGCATTCTAGTTATACAGGTACTGTATGAACTCAATTTTCAACAGAGCAGGCATCATCACTTCTGTGTGATGCTAAAAACTGTCAACCAAAACGTCTTTATTTTCTATCTTTGTGCAACTGAGAATGAGTAGCTTTCCTTTGTAGCTTTCATTCATCTTGTCATCTCCCACTGTGGAATCTTAGCCCTTTTGGTACCTGACATTCACAACAGAATTTAAAACAGCACCTAGAATCGATGGATATACCACATTTGTTATAGCAAATTAAGTTCAAACACAGCAGTTAGTGAGGCTACTGTTCTTTGGCGCAGTATTGCCCATTAGGCCAAGATCTCCAGTTGTACTGCAACAGGCTCTCCTTTCCATTCTGCTATAGCAGGTTTGGTAGGGAGAAAAGTTAGATTAGAGGGGCCCCTGCAGGGCAGTAGCAGGGCTGCATCTAGTATGAAGGCAGAGCCATTGCAGTGTTCTGTGTTTTATATTGTTTGCAATCTTTGCTAATTTTGCTTAGTTGTTAGTAAATTGTTTATGTTATATAATTTGATCATAAACCAATCCTGTACATAATCCAATTTATTATTTATCATTATTACCGTGCTACAGTGCTGAGAAAAAAGTTTGACTTTCCCTTAGGATTTTACACATATTTCCTATATTTAGAATCTAAAATCTTCTTAAATCTTAATCTGAGTCCTACTAAAACAATAAACCTGATGAAACAGATCACACAATATATGGTGCTCTTTCAACATGTATTTATTTTCAAACGATGCAACATTCGATATCCATGTGTGACATACAGTATGTGAACCTTCAGTAACTGGCGACAACCCCCTGTGCAGCAATGACTACAGCTAAACATTTTCTGTAAGTATTGATCAGTCTCTCATAGTGGTTTAGAGGAATTTTAGGCCATTCCTCCTTATAGGAAACCTTCAACTCTGTGACATGTTGCCTTGTAAGGACAGCTCCCTTTGGGTCCTACCACAACATTTGCATAGGGTTTAGGTCTGGATTTTGACTAGACCACTATAAAATGCAGAATTTGTTCTTCTGCAGTCATTCTTTTGTAGATCTGCTTGTATGTTTAGGCTCATTGTCTTCCTGCAAGAACCACTTTCTGTTCAGCTTCAAGTCACAGATGAAAGGCTTGACATTCTCCTCTAAAATCTTCTGATACTACATGGAATTCGTGGTTTTGTCAATAACGACAAGTCGGACATTTTGGTAGGAAAACCACTCCTGGGTAAAGTGAACGTGGTCCTGAACTTTCTCCATCTGTCTGACAGTGGATTGGTGGAGCCCCAAATCCTTAGAAATGGTTTTGTAATCCTTTCTGGACTGATGAGCATCAACAACTCTTCAATTTCTGAGGTCCTCAGAGATTAACTTAGATCATGGCTTTACTTGTTTCCACAAAGCTGTATGATAAAAAACAAACTCACAATGCTCCTAATCGTTATGTAGAGTGGGGCCTTCCAAACCCAGCTCCCAAGATCTACCTGATTATTTAAACACCTGATTCTAATAATTCACTTAACTGAATTAATTCAACTAGTGGTTTACTCAGTTATTCACATCCCCTGTTCCTTAATTAATCACTGTGTATTTAATTAATGCAACATTTTGTTCCAAGAGAGATCAAATCGGTTACTTTAAACCCTTAGAGACATTCACATAGATACTGGTTTTGATGTGGATGACACAGTGGCACAGCTGTTAGCAGTGCTGCCTTGCAGCACTGGGGTCCTGGTTCCAATTCCCAGGGTGCTATCTGTGTTGAGTTTGTTGGTTCTCTCTGTGTTCATGTAGGTTTACTCCCACAGTCCAAAGACTGATAGGTACAGATAGGTGAATAGGCTGCTGGTTGTAGTGTGTGCATATTTATGATTGTATCTGTGTCTGCTCTGTGCTGCACTGGCGTCTCCTGTCTTGGGTTATCCTGCCTTGCCCCTGTTGCTTGACATGATAGGCTCTGGCTTTCCCATGAACCTGTTTTGGATTAAGCAGTTAGAAAATGGATGGATAGTTTTCAAGAAGGCTATTATGGTAAAACTAGGAAATGTTAATATTTATTTTTGGGGCTCACAAACTTTTTCTTGGCACTGTATATCAATATAATCTGTTCATCAACACCTATGTAAAATACCTCTGTGATTGATTTATAATGGACTACTTGAATGGAGTCTTTTCCAAGGATTAAAATTAAGCCTGGTATGACTGTATGTTGTACTTCATATTTATTTCTGACAATTAAATTGCTCCATATCTCAGGAGTGCTTTTAGTATTATTACTTACTTGAATGGAGGTCTGTATATCAACAAAAACTCTTCATTTATCTTTCACGTCAAATATGTTCCTCAGAAATGATTAACCAAACATGAACAGAATTAGTGCAGGGATTTTATCACTATCAGGGGATATGGATGTGTTCTGTTGGTTTAGGATGCTACTGTGGTTAGTTTATCTCAATGTCTCTTTACACACATTTTGAAAAGAACTTTTTGGTCACAAATATCAATTTCAATTTTTTGTACCATACAAACACTGTACCAAAAAAGCATTTGTGGTCAATAGCAGATACAGTATTTTTTAAGCAATAGTGATGATGACCATTACATTTCCTGCACTCTCTTATTTGTTCAGAGTGAATTAAAAGGTTTTCTTCATTTGTGTCTATCTTGTAGGCTACATTCCACAGCGAATTTACCAGACTGGGTGTACTTATGCAAAGGAGACTTCAGAATGCATGGAGACCTTTTGTGATACAACTCAGAAAGCACTAAAGGACAAGGCAAACTTTGAACTGATGATCGTGTCTGCTCCCAGGCTAAAGCCCATTCGGTCCGACCAAGAAGTTACACTAGCATTGGAAGAATATTGCCAAAGGCAGGCAGCCGCTTCACATCAGATAGGTATAGAACTTTGTTTCTAATGTTTGAGCTAACAGCTTGGAACATTGATGACATGCTTTTCTGAAAGTAGAGACATCATTGGCTGAAATGGATACATATTTCATCACTTTAAGAAAATAATTCAACAGTATTAACACCTTGAAAGCCATTCCATTCAGGGGTCAGCCAACCTTTTAGAATATGACTTATATTACAGAATATTATTGGCTTTTGTCCGTGCCTTTTGAAGGACCCTTCCAAGTAACTCATCGATTATTTGCTTGCCTGAACAATGGCAAGACCTGTTCAAGTAGACTGGGGAGTGAAGCAGTATGCAGACAGTCCCCCTGTCACGTGAAGTCAGAACAGCACATGGAGTCCAGGGAGCAGGAGTCAAACTGAAGCACAAAATTGGTCTTGATTGGAAACCTGCAAATGTTCTTGCTGTTTTCTAGTTGAGTATTACTGTTGTGTTGAAAGTAATCAACAAGTTACTGGATACTCAATATATGTTGTAATGAGGCATGTAGTACTCTGGGTAACCTCAAACTTGCATGTCCATTTTCTATATTAGATGGAGTTTACTGAGGTGTCTAAAAGTATTAGGTGAATTGCAGATTCTTTTCAACAGGTTTGAGCCTCTACAATCATTACAATGAAGGCCATTGCAAAACAATTCATAAAAAGTGTGATCATACATCACTTAAAAGAAGTGAAACTATTCTTTCAGGCAGTATAGAGAATAAAACATTAAACTGGTAGCTCACAAAAGGCTTCATATTTCCCCCATGTTTGTGTAGGATCCAAGAGAAGCTTGCTGGAACCTCCCAAGATTGGTTGGACTGGGTACGTGCCAAAAGCCAAGGTCACTGACTTGGGTTTGGGAGTGCGGTACCATGTGATGAGTGGACACTGCTTTGAAGCATTCAAAAACTCCATCACGAAGGAGCCACAGCCTTCCTCAAGGCAGACACACAAGTAAGTTCCCTCTGAGTAGAGACCCATTTCTGGAAAACAGCCTGCATGGGGAGATCAAGGAAGTTGTTTTATGAGATCTCAAGAGGAGGTTGTCAGTAGGTCACACATGCTAAATGTTTTTTTTTCATTCTTGGATCTTTCTGGTCCTTTGCGTTTCAGAGATGACTCTCATGGTATCCCTTCTGCAGACATTTCAGGATCACGATTGTACAGGCCAGAAGGGATGGTGCCAAAGTACACTGGATACATACCACGTAAGACAATAGTTTTTGAATAACTTTAAAGAATTTTGTGGCAGTCATGCATGCAACTAACTCAGAATAGTAATACTGTTTGGTGAGTGAAGGAATTATGATGTGAATTTCAGGACCTGTTTTCCAAATGTGTGAGGTGCAGATGAGCATAATACATGCTAGAAGTGACTGGGCTTCCACAGTAGGTAGCTTACTTATTAGCATATGGTTTATCCCTGCAACGTACTGGGTGCCTGCATGCCTCAGTAAGACACGTGCCTCTCCTCTCTGGACAAAGACTTGAAAATGTTCACAGCTGATGATTCCAAATTGGAAGGCTACATGAGAAAATATTTTTTTTTTTAAATATTGCATTGCTCCTTAGATGTCTATCCTTTGCATAGAACCTCTCTCTACCCATCTTAATATATCTTGGGAAATGTGAGGAGATCAGTAAAAAGAGTGTCCTGAATTGTCTCCTTGTAATAAGCTTTTAATTGTTTTGCACATATCCTCTTCTGGCAATATGAAAGCCATATCTTTAAAAGTAATTCTGATTAATATTGTGGATATAGGTTAGTCCTGTATGTTAACATTTATGTCACACATTTAAAAATTGAGAAGCATACAGTATGAGTTGGACTTTTTATTACATTATGAAATATCAGCACTGCCCCCTTGTGAATACTTTGAAGACTATGTAGCTGAAGCACAAATATGAGAAGTGAAGGGCAGCTCATTTTGAACATGGACAAAAGTAGACACAATTACAAAAAACAGAACAAAAGACCATACTTCTTTTAAGATTTTGGGCTATACTTTTCAACTTTAAACTGATTCTTTCCAAAGCTATTTATCAACTAAATGATATATGAAATTTATTGAGACCCAGATGTGTGTACTATAACCATTTTACAGTGCTATGAATGATTTAAGTACTTATTTACAATGAATGTACTTTTATTTATATCTTGTGTAGCATATATAAAGCTTTGACCAGTAAAAATACTATTTTTGAGATTTCATGTTTTTATGGAAAAAGGAAAACTTTGTGATTAAGAGTGATATAATGGCTCTGTGAAATAAATGCATTTGGCATAATTTATAAACTAACTTAAAGAAATTTCAAAACCAAGCAAAAAGCATTTACATTTTCTTCAGGATATTAGCTTTAAAGAGTTAAACTACAAGAAAAGAAACAAGAGATCCATGCTGTGATTTTATCAAATTTAAACAAATAATAATGGACTAACCTTGTATCAAAAGGTGGGTATTTACATCTCACAGCTGACATCTCGCAGCCTTTAACAGCCAGAGTGCATTTTGGAAAGTATATTGTTTTTACTTCGTCCCATGGCAAAGTCAAAAGAACCTACACTGTCTTAAAATCATCTGAAACCAGATGACCAGATGCCAAATCTAGTGGACAGTTTCACAAAATATTTTCTTTGCTGTGACCTAATGCACACTTCAAAGAATGGAGGCCTCTTCTTATGATTGCTGACCATGCCTAGTGTTGCTTGAATTGGTCAAATCAATTATACTGACTTAAAATAGAACTTTAATCAAAGAACAAAGAATGTGGGAATGTAATTTTTATTCTTGGAATGTAACTGATAAGCTACAGTATGTTCTTGCTGTCTCTGTAACAGAATATGCCATATCAAAAAAAGTGAACCGAGTAAAAAAGAAGTCAGAGATTTGGCAGCCTTGGTTCTTTGGAATTCCCTTATATTTTTATACAGTTATTATTTTGTGATGGACCTACAGTGTATTCCATCCTTCCCCATGACATGTCAAGTGAAAAGTTATCCAAATGCTCTGAAAATTAAACCAAGTATGGCTTGCAGAACACTGTGTCTTTACGAAACCTACCTCAACATCTGGCTACATTTAGTTGGAAAACATGTTTTAGATCTAACTACTACTAAATAGGGCCTCTTAACCCCATCAAGGTTAGGGCATTTTTGGGGGAGGTGTACAAACATACATATTGAAAAACATCTATGGAACAAATGCTGTTGCTAAGGCAATCTCGAGGATGATATTCCCAAAGAAGCTCTCCAGTACCACTGCATGTTGCCTCCCACATTTCCACTCAGGATAATATTGTAATATGGAGCAACAGTAGTCACTTTACAAATATAATCGTGTACCTATAAGTGGGAGCTTGACACATTTTCAGTTATTTGGAGCCCTCAGCATTAACGCTTATCATCTCAGTTCCCTTTGTCAGGTAATCATATTAATGACTGTAGGTTAACACAAATAAAACCTACACAGCAATCACTTGTGCAAGCAAAGAAGATTGTACTCCGCATTTATTATGTTCTCTGCATGTGTATCTATGTGTCCAAATAAATGTACACAGCTGTGCAAAAGCCTTAGAAATCCAAGACAAAACTTGAAATCATGATAAACAAACCTTGCAAAAGGATTTGGGGTCCTGTTTTGTGAAATTAGAAAAAATCTGCATGCACTCTTATTAAAATACAATTAAAATAACTACTTTATTATTATTACTAACACAATTATTATGCTCAAACTGAAAACGTCTAAGGCTAAGATAAAGTAAATTCCAATACATGCCAGGAAAAACTAAAGAGAAAAAACTGAATATGGTGATTGCAGACAGTAAGTATTCAGACTCAATATGTGGTGGCAGCATCTTTGGCAGTAATTACAATCACAAAGCTTTTTGAGTAAGTCTCCACCGACTTTACATACTGGCTTGGTGCCATTTTGCCTGGTTTTCTTAGCAGATTTGTTCAAGCAATCAGAAGTTACTTAGGTATTGCTTATGGTTAAAGTCTTTCCACAGATTCAGGATTGAAGTCTTTGACCTTGCCACTCAAAGACATTTATTTTCTTATTCTTAATCTGCTTGTGCTTTGGATCAATGTCCTGCTGAATGTTTAATTTTTATTATAACACCTCTGCTTGTTATTAATACAGCTCAATTTGAGTGAAAAGAAAGCAAGCTATTTGTTTAGTAATCTTTACCTTAAAAACACCTGAGACTTTTACATATATACATTTCCAGTGTCATTTCCAGTGTTGACTTTGATTTTATAAGAACATGAGAAAAGTTGCAAATGAAAGGTGGCTGTTTGGCCAATTTGGTCATTTAGTTTATTTGGTAGTACGTTTTTTGATCCAAGCATTTCATCCAGCCATTTCTTGAAAAAATCCAGGGTATGAACTTCTACAACAGGGTGAGGTAGCTTGTTCCATACTTCCACAACCCTTTTGGTAAAGAAGTACCCCCTGCTCACAGTTTTTATTGCACGTCGACTTAGTTTTCACTTGTGCTTGTTGATTCATGTTTCACTTTTCATTCTGAAGAAACTGGTTGTCTTTATCAGTGCTTTTGTGGATTCTGAATATTTGTGTCAGGTGCCCTTATAGTTTTCTCTCTTCAAGACTAATAAAGCTTCAGTTTCTTCAGCCTGTAAGTGTAGGACACTCCCTTCATCCCCAGAAAGTATTTGATTACTCTTCTATGGACCAACTCAATGTCTATAACATGCTGACCACAGTTGTACACAAAATAATTTCTAGTTTTGCTGACGCAATTAGCTCAGCAATTACCAGTTAATAATCTCTTTTGAAACAATGCAAACAAGGAATTCAGTTAAGGAAGCAGGAATGACATGGAACATTATTCTGTCACATAATTTAAAATAAAACTGCAGCATGACCTAATATCAAAACGTGTACTGCTTGTATTGCAGATAAGCGATTTATCAATGGACTGACCTATGGAAACATGTGTCGGAGGAATTCGGTTTGCAATCACCTTGAAAATTCCTACGGAATGCATTCTGCCAAAAAGCAAGCTTTCCAGTCAGTGTCTCAATAGCATGACATGGAGAAAGAGGAATCAAAATGAGGAAGATCCTGAAGTTTGGGGTATATAACACTGAGCAAATGAAATATATTGTGTTTCTAAATATCAGTTTTTAGGTCTTTTGTCACATAAAAATGCCATTAAGAAGCTTGTAAAACATGTTCTGCAGATCATGTCAGAATGGAGTCAGAATGTCCTTTATCAGCCACCATGGAGAACAGTGATGATTTTTTTTATTAGTTTATGGATAATATGGACCTCTGGGTTCACATAAATATTCCTGAAGATATTTATTACAGTTAATATTTCTTCCACACCTAACCCTGACATTCTTCATTGGGTGATATAAGCCATACAATAGTTACAACACCTAGGAGCACAACGTGTCCTTCTTTTGGGCAGTTTCAAGCTAGCTTATTTTTACCTGTTTGCTATGACTATGGGCAAGTTAGATACATGTAACTGTCTGACATTCTGATTGTCCTTTTCATTTTCTCTTTCTGCAGACACAGTGCATCTCACTGTGGGGGTATTCTTCTTTTCCACTCTGGAATATCAAACGGCCTAAATGCCTAAACACATACCGGCAGCCAGCAACTTCATTCTCCAATTCAGATAAAATCTTGTGCAAAACAATTATTGTAAACACATCTGTCCATACTTTTTAACTAGACATAACAGTTCTTTAGATATCTGTTTTCATCCCAACTTTCTATTTCTTCAAAGCAAGTACAGTACCTCATGAGTATGAAGTGACACAAAGTGTGACAGCACACACACATGGTAAGAACATGTGTTCTTGTGAATTGGAACATGCAAATGTGAACATATTAAAGGCAAACAGGCATGGTCATTTTCATGCAATGATGAGAGTGTCTTGAGTATCACAATAAACTCTGTCAGCAACTTCCATGTTTCCATGAGGGGAACTGCATTTCCATGAAAGCTGCTGAAAGAAATATTTGCAATGTCAAGTCACTGGGATTTAGGGTCCATTAACTAAGGTTTATGGTCCACCCTCACTAGACCCAAGTAGCTATATCAAGTGACAGTGAGCAACCATAATTGACCCAGACTCAATGGCAGGAATCATCTGATTTCGACAGACAAACTGAGGATTATTTCTGCACAGAAACTACTATGCCATGTGCATGAACATGGATACCAATGCCTTGCACAATGGAAAAGGAAGGTGGTGTCTGAATAACCTTCGGATGTGTCTCATTCAGCAGCTGCAGAGCCAGAGTATGTGGGAGAAATGAAGAATGGTTTGCTGAGGTGTGAGTAGAAGAATTATTTTTTTTCAGTCAAATACTTGTGTGAAAATAATTGTGTATGTGTGTGGCATAGAATCTAGCGTTAAAATTAATTAATGAGAACATAAAACTTAAGAAAGATTTTAAATGAGAGGAGACCCTTTTGTCCAACTTACTTGGTTGGTTGTTCAGTAGTTAATTTGTTTTCAGTGTTTTCTAGAAATAGCCTAGAGTTTGGATCTCAATCATGTGACTGGGAAGCATGTTCCAGATACTCAGCAATCTGTGTAAAAAAACATTTCTTAATTGCCATGTTAAATTAATTCCCTTTTAGTTTCCAATTGTGACACCAGGAGCATCCAGACTTGAACACAATCTCCTGGGTCCAGGGATCATTCTTGTTTTTCTTCTCAGACTTGTGTGGTATGTTAACCAAAAATCAAACCCATGTTCTAAATAAAGTCTCACCGGTGCTTGTAAAGCTTGAACTTCTCTGGACTTTAATTTTTGTTATATACTCAAACATTGGTTGCATTTTTATTGCTTCCCCACATCATCTCAATTAATTAGAATTGGTATAATAATAAAATTAATTCTAATTACTTACATTTGTATAGCACTTTATAGACCAAAGGATCCTAAATTGTTTCACCTATACCATCCACTACTGAAGTGCAGCACTCAGCAGAGAGACACACAGAAGTCATTAGGCACCAGCAGCCCCAATACATTGCTCGTCTAGTGGAGAAATGACCCTCAGCTAAGCAGCTTACAGTATTTCACTTGGAAGAAGGAATAAAGACATTCTTTAAGTAACTGTTTTCCAGCAATTGTGTTTAGATGTGAGGTTGTTGAAGCCTTTTGAAATCATATTTATGTGGGATGTTTTCCGTATTACTGTATTTGTTTCGGTGTTTTTGAAACCTTAATTACAGAAAATATATTCTCATTTTACGAAGAACATTTTAGGGAACTTGTTCATGAGAAATGGAGTGCTCACCTGAAGTCCGAGAAGGATGACGACAACCAAATCACTACACGCTGCAGCTGTTTGGAAGCATAATCGTTCCTGACGTAATTTCTCCTAAGCGTAACATAAGCAACACTTTTCATCTCATGCAGCCCTCCTCTAGCCCTTCTTGACCTGTGCAGCTTCCCCTTGGTGAACTCCTCACTCTGCCATCTTGTCTAATGGCTATGGGATGGCCCTCAGCCAACCAGGCCAAGTCAGTTCTGATTGTAAAGACTGTGAAATATACAGTAATGCTATTCAAGATGCCCTGCTTTGATTCCTGCAAAATGTGACAGTTCAAAGGGGGAGTAAAGTACAAGTACATAAGTACAATAAATACAATAAAAAACTACAAATGACAGGAGGCCGTTTGTGCTCTTTTTTATAGTAAATCAAATATTGATGGTTGATCGGCTAATTGATTATAAATTACTATCCAGTCATTAATTTAAAAAAAAAACAAAATCGAGTTCTGTAGATGTCCACTGGCCTGCCTTCGTGCCTTTAAGTAATAGTAAAAAAATATTACTGGTGACCAATTGACGGGGATTGTTAATAGAATGCTGGATTTTTCACGTGGAGTTGTACTTGCATAAAGGGTGTGTTTGTACTCTATTTAGTAGACCGGCTCACACACAAAAAAAAAAAGGTTTCGGAGAAGATACCAAAAAGCAACGAGGAATCTTTTTGTGATAGTTGCCGCTGTTTCTTTACAGGTTATATGTTGATGTAAAGTAATATTCCACGTTTTCGCTGTTTTACATCGAACGCTCCTTCCTTTTGAAGGAATCCTCGATTACTGAGTCTTCACTACTACTACTAGTTTTCCCGTCCTTATTCATTGTTCTCTGAGTATAGAATGATTTTATCATAACTAGCCATTTGAATGATTGCATTTTTAATCATTAGGTACCATAATCCATTCCATTGAAAAGTTTTGTTAGATCGTCTAGCTCGACAACTAGTGAAAATAAATGCGCATCTGTTTAGAAAGTATCGGAAGAGATAGTTTACGTTGGCATTATCTGTGGAAACGCAAACGGTAGGACTCCCAGCGGCTCAGATAGAAGATATTTAAGCGAAAGATAGTCAAGTGAGAACATACCGGCTCTAGGAATTAAGAGGCATTGAGTGTTTTTTTTTTTATTTTAAACTTAAAAATGTAAACATTCTTTCCAAGACCTGGTTAAAGGAACATCACGTGATAAACAAATCACCAGAAATGGGGAGCACTACTGTTGTCAGCTCAAGACATTACTTAGTTTGTCTTACCGTATAATCACAGTCCCAAAGATTATTATGTAGTTAATGAAGTGAGGAATCGTGACCTTTATATTTACATCGCTATTGAGCACTGGATGTGTAAAGCCCCACTATCAACAGCAGGGGTTTTCTAAAGTTATGCAGCATTGCACAACCTCTTAAATTCTACACTTTTAACTTTTAACTTATATACTTAAAACTGATTGCCTTTTGTATTGCTTGCCATTGCCCTGAGGAGGGAACATATAACATCTTTTTCATAGGTGGATCTTCATGCTCATTATTTCCTGTCTTGTATATACAGTATACTAATGGAAAAAAGAAACGCAACATTTTCTGGAATGAGAATACAATAGTTATAGCTTATGTACTTTCACAAAAAGTTGTCGATTTGTTTTAAGCCCACTGACCAACCATACAGCTTGTGCAGTGAGGCATTGCAACTTGCCAATCACACAAAAGCTCGTTAGGTGCACTTTTACCCACCGAGGTTCAGGTGGAGCAATGCCTGATCAGGTCAGTCAGTTTTCTGTGCATTCCTGATTGCCACAAACGTCACCAGAAGCAAGGGAGAGGACCATTGGCATGCTGCAGGAAGGCATGTCATGTGCCAGCATTGCCAGACACTATGGAGTAGGCTGCTCCACTGTGTCCCGACTGCAGAGAAGGTTTCAGCAGACCGGCAAGATAGATGACCGTCCAAGATCCATTCGCTCTCGGGTGACCACACCAGAGCAGGACCGACACATCAGACTGGTCCATCTGAGAGATCGTTTCAGATCTGCCACCCGTACTGCTGTTGAAATTGCCAGCAGACACATCAGTGACAGGACAGTGAGGCTCCAGGCTGCTGGCCTTGGAGCAAGGCGACCTGTCAGAGGGCCTCTGCTCACACCTCCTAGACGTCACACCCGACTGGCCTGGGCCAGACAGAGGCTGCGATGGACTCATCAGCAGTGGCATCAGGTCCTCTTCACGGATGAGTCACTCTTCAGCCTGTTCCACGCAGACGGGAGGGCCAGAGTGTGGAGGAGGAGGTGCTGAGTTTCTTTTTTCCATCAGTATATATATATAGTTAATTTTTGCTATCTGCAGGCAGCATGCTACTATTCTTTTCATTAAATCACCTGTGAGATGTTTAACCAGACTTGAATTTTGTCTTTTAAGTTTAACCTTCTTTACTGCTTCTACAGGGTTTTCTAGGAGAAACAATAACTGTAGAAGTTTCTTACCAGATCAAACATTTTGAAATAATTTTTATTCAAAGTTAACCCTTAAAGATGCAATAAGAAAGTAAATTCTCCTTGCAGCGGGAGGGCACTGGGTGAAATAATAGCTCAAGTCACTTTTGAGTTATGAGAAGACCATAGCAATTTTTCATTAATGATAAAAAGGAGAACTGCACTTGGCTGACTTTCTGGATTGTGGAAACCAAGGTACCAGAACACTTCTGCGCTGACCTATATGACTTTGTTGCTGCAAGTGAGTATGAATTCTATGTTTAATTACGGTTTAATCTGGACTTATGAAGCTGAAACACTATCTGTATGAATACATCTACAAGATCTAAATGCAAAATATGTTCCTGATTCCATTCCCCGAGTTTCACCTGAGTAGTCACCTGTTGTATTTGTCCTCCTGTCAAGTACTGTATCTGGGTGTTAAAGACCTCTTTTTGCCATCCAATTCTTATTGGCTAGGAAAAAACAAAAAACCTTAACTCTAACCTCTCTGTCCCATGTGATTCACACCGCGTTTATCAGGACATTTGTCAGAAACGTTTAACCAATTGTAAATGACGTCACACCCCAGATCTATGGAATTAATAGAACTATATCCTATTTAATGTTTATCTTGAAGCTGGGGTTGTGTTTTCAAAGTGTTTCAGTATATTATTCCTTGGCCAGGCCTCCCTCCACTTTGTTTCTAAACTTTTACTGAAAGTAATGTCTCACATAACAGAATATAAGTTTGTCATCCTTAAATTCTACAAGGCAGATGACTGTAATTACTGGAATTAACAGGCTATTTTGTCGTTAGTCTTCTTATTGAAGGCTGGAATAAAAAAAGTGACTGCTGTCTAAATGAATGTTGAAGAAATGGGCAAGTTCCCTCAGACATTTAAATCAACATATAATACTATAATGTAGTTCTGCCTCAAGCTGTACAGCAGAGCAACAAGGAGATTGTTCTGATTGGTATTGTGCAGTGATGATGGCTGGCTGCGAAAGTCAACATGAATATGAATTTACTTTGTCAGCATTATGATGGAAATGGCAGGCTTTTTTTAATGCCCTATTTTACAACATTGATTATAGGGTGGGGATCTAAATAAATGAGTCCACAACAATGCTGTGCAATCAAGCCTTTATAAGCAAGTGAAATGCCTGGGACACATAAATGAATACTGAATACAAATGTGGCCTATTCAAATTAGATACATAAGTGACACATTAAGCTGAATTTTGCTGATGTGCACTACGCCTAAATGGGAAAAAAAGAAACAATCTTAACATGTAATTTAGTGCAAATGTCTGTTTTCGCAAAAGCGACAGTCAGTCTTTCAACATTATTAAAAGTAATGTTTATCAAGCTGCTGTTTAGACTTTTTTTTACAGTTCACCAATTTAGTCAAGAAAATAGGAAAGGATTTAATGAACCTAAAGGGTATGGAATGCCAAACATATACGTTTGAAATCTGAATTTTCAATGACTTTAGATCACTCACAGTTGAAAACAGTGTTTCCCATAACTATTTAGACTATAAAAATGAAATGGAGTTAGAACAAAGGGTAAAATGTATAGACTTTCAGAATGTGAAACTCTAACGTAGATTGCCAACATGCATGCATTTATTTCTGTCTTCAGTAGTCAACAACATAAAGAAACACTATATGGCCATGAAGTATCTGTGAAAGGAGAATAGAAACTCCACCACTTATAATAGTAGCAACATTATATTCTTTCACTTTTGTTTGAATATGAACATTTTCAGGTGCCTGTGCTCCTGTATTTTCTGTGGGTGTGTTTTCTTTATGTGACTCAAACTTTCAGATCTGGCCTTCAGACCAGTTTTAGATGTCTATCTATAAAATGCATTCATTATTTGTCATGGTTATTTTGTCACACTTTTGCTGAAAGTGCGAAATGTTGAAATGCTAGTTCTAATGCACTCACAAATGACTTTATTACACGTTTTGCTGTGAACACTTGGTCAACTTTTCAGTCATGTTTTGATAACATTGACACTTGGGGATGATGGGACTGAACTGCAGATGACTTTGTTCTAGCATGGCTCTTCTGGACACAACATATAACATAAGAGAGGATACAAATACAAATTTCATGTTAACCTATTCTAACAAAATAGATAATCCATTTATAAATAGTTGTGTTAGTGAAAGTTAACTTACAGATTAGAATCGGAAGCATGGAACCTGACGTGTTTTTTCCATTGCTATTTATTAAATCTGGGGTTCCAACACTGCTCCTGCCCAGCAGGATTCATAAAAGCCTAGAAATATTCAGCTGCAATCAGTAAAAGCACTCTAGGACCAGAATTCCCCCAACTGAACAAAAACATTTTTAATAACTCAAAAGTGGTCCTGTTCTTTACAAAGCAGGTGGTTTCTCAATGCATGAGACAGGGTCCAGGACTGAAGGCTCCTGTCTTCAATGCTGAGTTGTTAATCACAAAAAAAATTAGATTGCTGTTGTGTCATAGTTATCTTATATATCCTGATATTGTTGTCAGGATATGCAAAGCAGCTGTTCCGTCCTTAAGAATGTGTGGAATTTGTACACAGTACACAGGTACACAGTCAGGACAAATTAGTGGAGATGAAAATGATTGTTGTTTCAGAGCCTCTTGCTGGTTGGACAGTAACCTGCAGTATATTAGTGTTGTTGGTAATTGTTTTGCTCAGAAGGTGTTTGTAGTTTCCTGATTTTGTTTCATTTTCAAAACAAATGTGTGGGATGTTCTTCTTGTGTGAAATTTACTCGCATATGGCAAGATCCTGTTTTTTCTTATTTGTATTAAATGGAAGGTTAAAGCTGACTGGGTGATATACAAATGCATTTAATAATGTTAACACAACCATGGAAGAATATGAAATCCACTTTTAAGTGTTTGTGAGAGAGACCCCCTATAATACTGAATTTGTCGGTGTATATTTATCTGCTGTAGTAGCTGTCTGCTCCTTTCATTTAGAACCTGTCCTGTGTTTTTATTTTCACCTCCACTATTCTTTTTTGGGTCATTCAGACCCACTTCCACCACTGGTTCAGAGCAAAAGTAAATGACAAACTCAAGTGCTTGAATAAGACTTTATTTTGAGTGTTTTGAATGGCGTTAGCTCTTACAGAAATGTGCAGGCATCCAGGGTTTGAAGGATATCTTTTCGCACTTGTCCTCTCCCACAAAACTGGAACCTGCAGTGCAACAGAGACAGAGTGTCAAGTGGTCATATAAAAAGTATTATTATGTGTTGCAACACTGCCCTCTTGTGTTTAGCAGTTTTAAAAATACAGTTTAAAATTAAAAAGAACTTATTGTCCACGAAAGGCAATATACTGTATATCTTTTGTGTTTCAGTATTAGCACTGTACGTACATTTTCCCGTCTTCTCCTCTCTGCACAACCACTGTTTCACCTCCAAATGTAGGCAGCAGAGGATTGATTTGACTGTTACTCCAGAGGAACTTTACTTTAGTAACGTCACCCACGTCCAACTCTGTATCAATAAAACCAATGTATGTTCTTCCTGGACGAAGAGTTCCCCTGCGGAGAGATTCCAGATTAACACGTTTCTGTGTACAGTACCATGTGAAACTGGTATGTTTGTACCAGCCACTGATGTTAGGGTGCTTAATGGTGGCTCTTGTCCATATTTAAACTCAGTGGAGCAAGGAAAGGCTTACCAGAGCTGACATCTTGGCATGTTTCTAATACATAGAATTACTCAAACATATCATTAATCAAGTTAATATGAGTGGAATATTTCATAATAACTGTACTTACTTCATAATCTGATATTGTTTTGTATTCCCATTTGTCCCAAATACAGATACCATAATGTAGCCTGCAACGGCTCTGTCACCTGTGACTGTGACTGTCACTTTATACTGCCACCCTGTATTGAAGGAAGGAAGGAATTTTAAGTCAAATAAAAGAGACAGACAACCCATGGCTGTTGGAGCCTGACTTGACAGTATCCTCTTGCGGTTAGCGATTTACATCCAAGGCTATTTCTTACTTAGATTTTAATTAAAATAAGTTTATATACTGCATCACTAGTATGCCCAAACCTCATTTCTGCAACCCATGCTTTAAATTGTAAATAAAACAGATGCTTGGACAGTTGTTAAACATGTCATTCAAAGAAGAGTTCAGTCTGTGAAAGGTTTGACCTATGAGGAGAACCACGGGGATGGTGGGGGATCTACTGTTATCTTGATGAAGACCATTTGGACTTTACATAGCACAAGCCTACAGTGATGAGGATTTTCATTTCTTCCTATTTTTCAAACTGCTCGTGTGAGATATGAGAATGCCTAGCCACATCATACCAGTCAAGGGACACTGGAACAGATAAAGCATTTATCTTATGACAAGAACTGGGGTCCTGCATCAATCTACATACATGTCAGCCTAACTTCTGTTTTTGAAATCCCTTTCAAAAGCTTTTCTTAAGAACACCTGGCACTGATTGAATTGAAACTTGTCCAATTTCTTCAAGAGCCAAAACTGTTTCAAAATTGCACCAGGAAAGACCAACTGGTTTGGTACTCCAAACATAATAAATATCATTGCATTTGACATACAGTTAGCATCTGGTGCACTCTTTTCCCCGTGTAAACCAAGATGACCAGTTGAAAGCCAAATTGTTGTCGTTGATATGGGGAACCATTACACAGAACTGAATGATGAATTTAAGGAATGATTCTAATCTTTGTTATACTTGCATACTCACACCTAGCCTTCACCTGTGAAAATGCAGTATAGACACATGTTATTCACATTAGCCTGAAAGAGGCCAGGTATTTTGTAATTTGACATTTGACAATAAGCGATTGATACCCATACACAGCTGTACTAATTTCTAGATTAAAGTATAAGATTAAACTTCTCACTGTTTATGTTTACAGATGTAAAACAGTTGATGATTAAACTAATTAGAAAAATGTTAGAGTTGTACATTATTGCTTCAGGGTGAAAAGTCCTTAAAAGTAGATGTTTGTAGTTCCTCTGTGTAGGAGTACATACGTCCAAAAGGCCGGGCATCTCCAGTGTTTAAATAGAACTTCAACTTTTCTGCACCTTTTGGTACATGGAACTCATTTGCATGATGACCCATGAAAGGGCACCCATTCTGGGGGCAGGGAAAGCAGGAACCCTGAATGGGGAGGAAGAGATCATAAACAGTAACTGTGTCTGTTTCTTATCCTGGTTATTCTCTCCACTTTTCCTTGGTTCACATTTCTGGTTTATCTTTTGAAAGCAGTGTATCCAGGGAATTATTGGTATACAGTATACTCAGCCTTTCTTCCTTTTAGTGTTTCATATACATTTTGAGCAGTCGTATGGACAGTTACTGATACAATAAGGAATTGTGCTGGCAGTTCAACAATTCCAAGGGTGTGATTTCATATTAAAGATATTTGTCACTTCCAACATAGATGCTAAAGAGTTTTAACATTTGTTTTGGAATCGCACTATGGTTACATTACAGAGTTAAATTTGAAAGGATTCAAATATTCAGATATGGAGTGGCAAAAAAACAGGTTCCAACATCAACCAAATGAGCATCTGTAGTTGCTAATATTCAGTGACAACTATAGAAAAACTATCAACATTTGTATGTTGTCCAAGACACAATTCACAGGTGGGCAATCCCGGTTCTGGAGGGCCAGTGTATGTGTAGGTTTTGTAGGTCTTTTTAAAGCAGCAGCATCTGATATTGTAAAACTGGTCCTAATGTCAATAATGAGCTGATTCTGGTAAACACAAGCCCAGCTTGACTGCATGCTGTAGAAAAGCCATCCCTTTCAGTTATGTAGTTAAAACGATTGAAATGTTGAATGCAGAACAGCTCCACTGGTTTTACAAGTCTGACATAGGTACAGGTTAGTTGTAGATGCTTGCACTGCAGGAGGTCAATTTCTAATGTATCTACTACAGTGAATCCATGCAGTGCAAATTCTAAAGCTTTCGTTCTTAAAGACAAAGGACAAAATCTATTAGATTGTCAGGTGAAGACAAATCACTTACAGATTTAAATGCCTCATCGTCATTACAAGGGTATCCGAGGAAGCCCTCTGGGTTTAAGATGCTGTCCGAATAGTACTTGTAAGACCTCAGATGATTGCAGGCCACAAAGTCCCGGGTTCCTGGCAAGAGACAGAAAAAAATATATAGTACTTGTAAGACCTCAGATGATGATAAAATGAAGAAAGGGTGAGATCAGCCTAACATGTTGTTTTAGTCTAGAACTCCCTAGCATACTTTCCAAATGCTCAAAGTTTGGATTTCCACCACATGGCAAGCAAGCATGCTCCACATACAAACTACATGTGTGAAAGAAGAGGTTTCTTCTCTCTTTTTTTTCCAACTAAAGGTAAAATAGTTCCTTAGATTAATGTTATATATACCCCTTAGGATATTATATACTTGAATCAAAGGTCTTGTCAATCAGCTTTGTTCTAGAGTGAAAGGATTACTCTCCCTTAACCTGTCTGTATACTGCAGTCCCCTAAGATAGCCCCTATCATTTTTATTGCTCTTCTTTAAACTCTTTCTAAGGCTATAATATACTTGTTGCGGTGTGGTGACTAAAACTGAACACAATATTCTACTATCTCACTATTGCATTGTAAATCTTAGGCACAACTTCCCTGTATTTAAATTCACATTGCTTCTGCACAAGTCTAAGTCTTGATAAGGACAGAAGAATCTCCATCAACACACAGAGCTCATTAACGTGTTTTCCTGCAAATCAGGACCACCCATGTAATATCTATAGTGTATGTTGCTACTTTTGACATGGATTACTTTGCATTTACACATGCTAAATTTATTTTGTCATGTGCCTGCCCAGTCCTCGACTTTAAGTCTTTTTGTAATTGCTTTATCCTGAATTTCTATTTTGTCATACTCCATATATCATCTGCAAATTTAAGTAGCTTGCTAAGAACTGCACATCAGAATCTTTGATATAGATCAGGATGAATAATGGGTCTGAATTAGATCCCTGCATCACACCACTGCTTTTATCTTGTTGTGTATTTTAAAATTACATTTAAAATGGTGAACTGTTTGTTAACCATTTCTTGATCCATACAGTATGCATACAGAGCATCGGTTCCCTTGTTTTTTATGTAGAGAATACATCTTTCGTGGTGACTTCATTAATGTAAGTCTGTCATATGAATGCTTTAGCTTTGCCTATTGTTCTTGCTTGTTTGAAGAATGATAGCAAGCTAGTGAGACAGCACCTTCCCTTATTAAAAGCTAAAATATTCTTCTGATTAAGCTGTAATTTCCTAAGTTGTAATAACTATAATTTCCAAACTTTTACATATAACAAATGATATTACTTCTGAAATTCTCCCTTCTGTGGGTTATGCTCCCATTTTTGAGTAAGAGCTAGTTGCCTGTTTGGTAGTTATTAACTAATCTTGAAAGAAGAGACGGTATCAACTTGAACTTTGTCTTTGTAGCTTCTTTCATACCACCACAACCCCCTGTGTAAAGGGTGCCCTCCTGTTCTCTATCTTAAATGCACTTCCATGTAGTTTTCTCCTTATGTCCTCTGAAATATTCAAGCTAGGGGTCTGTTAATAACTCATATTTCCTTAATTATGACTGCATTTTATAGAAATTGCTGAACAAAGTAGATAGTAAAACTGTTATATCCAGTAGAATGTGTAGTTGGACCAGAGATTCAATCCACAATCTCTCAGTCTCTTCCCATGCACCCAAATGCAAGAAGCAGGCAAATCTATTACACAAAAAGACCAGCCGTTGCATCTACACTGTTGAGCGTCTTGGTGAGTGATAACATTGGAACACTCTTATGTTATGTAGACCTCTTACATAAGTAATATTGAGACAAACTAAAGGCTTAAACAGCTACTCAAACCAGTTGAAATGAAATACCAACCTTCCCAAATCCCATCTATGTCAATTATCTGAGAAATGACATTCTTGTCACAGCCTGGCATGTGTTCCCCTCCGTTGGGGTAGAAGTCAAGATGACCCACAGCCTGCGACATTCCCATTCCTGCCAGAGAGTCAACAGCAAGTCATTTTGGCGAGAATATGTATAACAATGTTGTATGTTTCTCCCTTGTACCATGTTTTATATGAGAATAATTCTTTGCATTTGTATGGTGGTATCATAAAGGATCGCTATATGCTTTACATATAGGAGGATTATATTTACCACTGTGGTGCAGCACCTGCATAGATGATATTTGGCAGCCATTGTGTGCCAGCAGCCCCCTGCACAACCAATCAGGTGGAAATGGGACAGATTACTTCAGCAGGTGAATAAAGCATAAAAGTTCAGGTGGGCAAGTCTTGTCTTGTGCAAACCCAGACTGGAATTTAGACAGGATCCTCAGGTGACATCCCTATTCATGATGGTATTTCGTAAAAGTCACCTTTCCAACAGAATTATCTTGTAAAAATACTCCTTTAGGCTGAATGAGGTACAGTATAGCACAGTGTGGAGATGATTCAGTATTCCTTTGAGATCAAATATGAATGTTTCATCTGAGTCTCCACAGAATTCCATGTTCTCCACACTGTTTACTGTGACCCTACAGTATATCCCGATAACAAGCCTTCAGCAACAAAGAATAGTGAACAAAATTCAAAATCCTTGTCTACTGTATTCTCATTTGTTCTTATTATTTCACTTTTTTCCTACTCCTCAGCCTTATTGTACCAGGATTTAGGCCAACATAGTCAACATAATAATAACAGTTGCTTTAGAGGAGGAAACTCATTCTCCTCGTTCTAACATTCTATCCTCTTCTGGTAAGAATCAAAAGTTTGAAAAAAGCTTTTTACTTACATTCTCTCTGCTTGCTGGCAGTCATGAAAAACACTTTTACCACTCAGACAGGTTTCATTCTCAACGCACTGACTTTCAAAATCCAGTGTGTACAAGTATATACCAGTTAAGTACTTCAGAAACCTTTTTGTGTTGTTTGTACCTGTTCTAAGTATTCTAAACTCTTGTTAAAAATAAGGTTCAGCATTCAGGGAATATGACTGAATAAACAAAAAGAAAGATATATATTGCAGACAATCCTGCATTATTATTGTGGGCTTTTTTCATTTTGATTGTTGGAACTCTAGAAAACATGACTCAAGTTCATACAATTTGAGCTACAGTTGGAGTTTCTGGTCTCTGCCAAGTGTTGACCTAAATTTCAACCTTACCAACATAAGGAAGCATGGGAAGTGAATCTGTGTGAATCACATCAACAAAAACTGCATCACTAGGGTCCAGTCGGACCAAGATGGGAGTTCCCTGAAAGTATGGCTCTGCAGGATCAAGACCTGGAAGTCAATAAAACAATAGTTTAGTGTTCCCTTGTCTTTGAAGGGCTTGGACTATATTATAACGAATAGCTCGTATTGATGTTGGTTATAAAATTTGTTTTGAGCATGACTTTAAGTAGGAAAACAAATATATTCTTAAATATGCCATTTAAAATACAGTTGCTTGCTGAGTACCTACCAGTGATTCTACCAAGACCTTTGAGTCTTCGGCCTGCTTCACCAGCAGCATGTGCCCCTAGACTGTGTCCGATTATATGAAAGTCAGCTGGCTTCTGCTTAAAGTTGGTCTGTTTATAAACATAAGCATATCATTATTTAACAGGTTGTACTAGTGTCCTCCAAAATGATCACCTAATGGGATACTTGTGGAAATGTTCCACACCGAACTCTGGTTGCACCTGTTTAAAGATAGTATTAAGGTTTTGAAACAATTTCTTCTCCTCTAAAATGTATTTAAACTATCCAAAATGCTTGTGAGGTTTTTCGGTGATCTTCAGAAGAATGCTAGCAAGGCATTTCTCTCTCTAGTAACATGGGTTTTGGCTTTCTGAGTCCTTTTTAAATCCAAATATTTTGAACTTCTTAGAAAAGTGTTCTTTCATGTTTTTTTATTAAAAAAAACTCTAGTGCAACCCAGAGATAATGTTGAAATTGTTTTACAAGGGTGAAAGTCTTAGTTCCAATACCCTCTAAATAGCTTGGAGTGAGCTGTTTAGCCCACTTGACTGTGTCAAGATCTGCTATCTTATCTAAATGTTAAGAACATTATTTTATTACTTTATCAAGATTTTTTGTCAATGGTTTAATGAAATTCCCCATTTACAAAATGATGTATTACTGCCTACCTATGGAAAACCTTATTTCAACCCCAGTTTAACATTAGAAACGAATGTCAGAAATATTACTTAGGTGCTTTTTTCACCTGCATAATATTCCCCGTTAATGACTTGTGTTGTCCCTTTCAGATACCGAGAAATTACTTCATGCATTTGTTTTCTTAGATTGGGTTACAGTAGTGCATTTTTCAAAGCATGTTATCAGCAGAATGTTCAGAATTCAGCTGCTAGAATTTCAACTAAATCCAAGTCCTGCAAGATTATTTGGACTAATGTTCCGTATATCAAATCGTGTGGATTTTCTATTTACCTGAAATGTTGTAACCATGTCAGCCATCTGCGCTCCAATCACTCGGATGTTCTGAGCACTTTGCGTGTACAGGGTTCTCCCTCCTTTCTTCCAGTCTACACAGATGCAGTTTATATCTTCTATTTGCAGCATCAGCTATAACCATGCAGATTCAATAAATGAGCGAACTGGAGAGAAACTTGTCATTGCTAATGGGGAGGGTTTTGGAATGGCCTAATATACTGGTGTGTCTTATATTTCTAAAACCAAAGTAGATGGCTGGGTTCAGGATACTTTCATATTGATGCTAAAACTTTTTCCATTTGACTGCCTCCAAGGTTCAGGTTCAGGTTCAGGTTCATGAGTCGGACAGCTTTTATTTTTCTTGACTCCTCTTAAGAATGTGCATTGAGTTCCTTCACGCTCTAGGATTGGAACCTTTTGCTGTTTCAGTGGCTGAGCTCTCTCTCCGCAGGACTTTTCTTTCTCAGTCCTTTTCAGCAGTATCGCTACCATAGAATTTTCATACTACCTCACCCAAGCTTGTCATGGGTTTAATCCTCTGGCTAATTAGAAAAGAGAATGGGTGTTTCAGCCACCTATAGAATGCACATACTGTATAGAATGGCTTAATGACTTTAGTGTGGCAGGCAAGGTCTGCAGGACTGTATGGTGCAAACCTTGTAAAGCCGATGATTCGTAAAAAGAGAATTAAATTATCTCTGCTGTATATGTTACATAATTTGAGCTAATAAATACTACAGGAAAATCACTACATTCTTTCCCCTGTGATTTTGGACCTGTATGACATTATCTATTGTGCTGTGCATGCATCGCTTTTAATTGAAAACTGTAGAATGTGTTGGACTAAAGGCAGGATTTAGAGAGGCAATGCCAAGGGAATGGAATACACATGGTTTAAGGTAGCTTTAAATAATTTGTATAGAGCAGCCAAAGGAATTAGCATTGAATTGAATGAATTGACTTGCCAGGATTCCAATTCATTTTACTAATTAGTTGTGTGATGTGTGTGGTGTAGGTATATGTGCACCAATAAGAAAGGGTGACTCCAACATACTTTACACATGTCAATCAGCCAGTTTTCATCTCCTTTATCAATGTATCCATGGGTGATGATGCGTGTCGTCCTGTTTCCCCTGTAGTTTGATGCCAGAATAGTCTCTACTTTGTCAGCTGTAATTTCCTGCAGAAATGAAGATGAACAAATTGCCATAGGTTTAATGACATAGCAGTAATATTTTAGAAACAAAAAAGCATGGCTCTTGCTTTTTCATCTCTATCTATTATAATGACGATTAAGGCCCGTTGTTCATTGTCTTGCCTGGGGAAAGTTTTAAGGTTTGTGTTAAGAGTGTATTCACTTGCATGTAATACAGTAGAGTAGTATGTTCTCTGGACCCGGCCCTGTCGACCCTTTGCCTTGTCTGCTTACCTGGTGATTGTTTGGGTTCTGCCTGGTGTAAAGGAGGAAGCGGGCGCTAATCTTCTCTGGACTCCAGGGTAACTTAGCGATGGGCCTCTCTGCTGTGCCAGCCCAGGGCATGTCATCTGTGAAGCAGCCTAGCCTGCCATAGCAGACTTCAGCCGCTGTCGTAATGGAAGACACAGCAAGCAGCCTTGAGCAAAATATAACCTTGTGCGGAACATTAGATTTGCAATTCTCTTCATTGGTGTTTAAGAGCTAGTTTTCACTAAAGCCTTTAAGCAAGTAAATCAATCATAAATTTCTCAGACATTCAGACTTTCAAATGTTCTAAAATCTCTGCTCACTGTTTGTTGCTCATGTTCAATGTATTTGCCAATGTGACACCACTCAGGGACACCTGAACAAGCGTGTGCCTGTCAATAAGCACACTGCAGGAAGATGTCCCGTTGTCCCGGCTCATATCACAGTTCTAAAGGGCTCAGTTCTGGAAAGCAGGTCAACCATGGACTATTGCATTCTCATATCTCAGGGTAAGTGAGAAGGACAAATGAGGACATGTTCACATTGCTACATCAGGAAGAGCCTACAGTGGGTGAAGTCCAAGGTCTTGATCAATTTAGTGTGTTGCAGTAAGGAGGTCAGTTGAAAATAGACATTTTTGCTCTGATCATCACAGTTGGACCTCCTCATCAATTTATCTGACGTAGACAACAATTAACGTATTTTTCAACACGTCTGCATTGTGTTTGCTGATGTCCTTCGGGGTGGTCTCCACAAAACAATGCTCAAGAGATCTTGCCTTCACTGCTGGCGAGTCTACCTGAAGAATTGCTCTAATATAATAATGGTATGGAGGCAGCATTCCCTTGAGTAGCACCATATTCTGTTTTTTTTCTCACTCTTGCCAGACTTCACAATCATCACATTACAATCACATGTACCCACTCAATTCACATTAATTTAATTTCTTTAATGCTCATCCAACACTTACTTAATTGAAGGAGTTCAAGTAGGGAGCTGCGTCAGCATGCGTAGGCTGCAAAGGAACAGCTTAAGGTTTAACTGTACCATGCTGAAATAAACCTTTTCTTTTTTTTAATTCCTTTTCTTTTCAGCATGGAATAAACCTTTACCTGTTCCTTTGCTGTCATCAATTGTATGTCAGGTAGGAATGAACCTAATAACACCGATAGCATTTAACCAGTACACAAAATTCAAAGACTTTATTATTCTAAAAAAATAGGTATGTTTCTTTGACGCTTAGTATACTATGATCCACAAAAGTAAAATCTACTTAGCCTTGACACAAAGGTTACTTCTACTTTCTATAATGTACAAAAAATAATATTTCAGCCAGTGTATGCTTACACTACTAAGATGTATATAATTTAATTATAATATAAATAATTTGAGAAATATTTCTTTGATGCAGCCCAATTCCATGTTTTGAGCATTTGTTTAAAAATATCAGAATTATCAAGAATCGCTCTCCCAACATTGTGAGGCTAAGGGATACATTTTTGCATGTGACACTAATTTGTTGCTGTTAAATAATGCAGACACCATTATTACTTACAATAACTGCATCCAAAAACTAGACTTACTGTGTACAGTGCCAAGGAAAAACAGGACAGCAACACAGGATAGCAACATCTAAAAAACAAACATCATTGTTCTCATATTCGTAATTTCTAGGGCTATCAAAGACATTCCTGTACAAAGTATAAATCAGTCATCGCTTACCTTGAATTCTGCTGTTAGAATAAAATAATATTCCCTTTCCTTTATATAAGATCCTGTTATAAGTCACATGTACTGTACATGATTATAGCTGGGAAGGAAGCAGGTGATGAACAGTAGGTGCAGCTAATCCATGATAATGTCTAAGACAAGCAAAGCATCGGGAGGTTTCTCAGAGGTTGTCAAAGAGTTCCACTGAGATGGAAAGCCTAAAGAAGGAATCCTTTTTGTATGATCACTTTCACATTGCTTTTGCCTGCTTAAGGAAACGCCGTGAGGTTGGGCTCAGGAAGAACTTTTATAGTCAAGGCAAAGGTCTTTAACACAGCGAGAACTATTTTCTAAGACATGTTCGCAAGCTGAGATAATCTGAACATGCTTATTGGCACCCCCCGTCAACTTTGTAAAGCCAGTCCTGTAACCCTATCTGTAGATGGTTCTGTACTTGTGCTTCAATCAATATTGAAAAACCTTGGGGTTATATTCGATTCTGGCTTAACATTTGACCCAAATGTGCAGCATACTATCAAAACTTTTTTTTTCTTCACCTCATCGCTAGACTACACCCTTTGCTATCACTAACTGTATCTGAAAAGCTGATCAACACATTTGGGTTCTCTCGAATTGACTACTGTAGTGTTCTACTCGCTGGGGTATCTAATTCTACTGTGAACAAACTGCAGCATGTCCAAAATTCAGCAGCCAGAATCCTGACCAGTTCTAGTGCAAGTCTTCACATTACTCCTATCCTCGAGTCCTTGCACTGGCTTCCGGTCAAATTCCGTGTAGACTTTGAAATCCTCATGCTCACCCTTAAGGCTCTGCATGGCTTGGCACCTCAGTACCTGTCTGAACTATTATCGCCCTACTCCCCACCCCGCAACCTTCGCTCTTCTAATTCTGCTCTCCTTACTGTCCCCCAAGCCCGTCTACATTGTATGGGTGACAGGGCCTTCTCCTATTATGCCCCCAAGCTCTGGAACTCTCTCCCCAAGGATATCAGAGAGTCACCTTCTTTAAACTCTTTCAAATCCAGACTCTAAACCCTCTTCTTCAGAAAAGCCTTTACATAACTGGTTCCATTCTTCACCCCTCTGCTTTTCTTAGTACCACCATCCACGGTCTCCTCTATATATTGTAATTGTGTTTTATCTTGTGTATTCTTCTTATTTATTGTTGTCATCCTGTAAAGCGCTTTGAGAAGCTACCTTTAAAGGCGCTATATAAAATTGTTTTTTATTATTATTATTATTATCAGCTTCTGAATCCGAAAAGGAAGCTCTCCTCTCACCTGGAGACGCTGCCCTGAGTTCCCTGCTCTACAGCAGTTTATATTAAAGAGCAAACAGGGAGAGCAGTTTGGCCAGTGACAGAGGAAAGCTAAAATAAGATTCCCACAATAGAAAGGACAGAACCATAATCACTGTAAATAAAACCAAAATGACCAGAACATTAAGGGCAAATGTCTGAGGGAGGTACAAAAAAATCTTGCAATGAAGACCTCTGCTATATTTGGTAGACTAGTCAGACTACACAAACAAAGTGAAATACGATATAGAGAAAAACTCCAAATGCAAAAGACACATCTAGAATCAACTCTAGATCTTTTGTTAGCCCTCTTGTACATGAACTAATGATGCAACAACACACAGCTGGCCAAGAAACAACTGAGCAGCCACTTGTCCAATTACTTTTAATCCCATGAAATGGGGGGACTATGTATAAAAAGGGCTGTGATTCCTACATGGTTCACACAATATGGACATAAATACCCTCGGATTAAAGCTGACGTTCTGCACTTTAACCTCATAGTCATTGTTGTATTTCAAATTCAATGTGCTGGAGTACAGAGCCAAAAGAGCAAAAATTGTGTCACTGTCCAAATACTTATGGACTGCACTGTATACCTGTGGTGTGTCCTGCGAACTGTTAGATGAGCCGCACTTATTACGCCTTACATTGATATTTTAAGAATTACACAGTCTGCCTCATCAAAGTAAGCCAAGCACTCACCACACTCCTACAACACAATGGGCTTTTTAAACTATATTTTTAAGAAATTCTTTAAACATATAGATTAGCGCTGCAAGAGCTTTCTGTGATATTCACTTAATACACTTATTGTAGGTCAAGCATCTCAGTCAGTTGGTAGAATGAAATTGAAAATATATGGCAACAAAAAGAGCTACTGTACAGATAAGCAACACCTAAGTAAAGACTATAAAATGTGTGTGGTGTCTTTGTACAATGGTTTATGTAATCAGTATCTTTTCTTATTAGTTGCCGCTGGTTTTCAAAAACATGCCTCCTCATGTAGAATGAATGTTGTGGGAAAAACACCACTGGCTTTTCAGCATATTGACACAGATATTAAGCAAACATCCACAGCCTTGGGATGGAAATGTATTGCAGCTCAACAGTCCACCTCCTATATTTATGCAGGTTATGTAAGCTACTGAACACTGAAAAAAATACACCTGAAGCTTCACCATAAAAGTGCTGAATAATTAACCATTTCAAATGAATTTCCTAAGCAGTGCTGTTAATCTGTAGTAAAAGAGCAAGACTCAGACATTTGGCGACTTCTACAAATCAGCAGTTCTGAAGCTACCTCAGAAAATTAGGAATAAAAAGTCTGCCCTACTAAGTCAACAACTTTCATTTTTGCAACGTAACAAGTAAAGGTTTATTCCATGCTGAAAAGAAACACAATGTTTTGGCTGTGGAGCCTTCTTCGAGTGTGTCGGGGGAGAACAAAATGTTGTTATACATTCTGGCTCCTCCCTTTTCATTCGTAGTACTACAGTTGCTATTTTGGGTTAGCAGATGATATAAGAACCATGATAGTCTAACTTTTTTGTATCTTCTTACTCGACTGACCAGTTATCCAAAGCTAGTCCTTTCCACTGATAACAAATCTTTTGGTGGATTCTTGATTCAACCATGTTTTTTCTATCTTGCAAATATACTGGTTATAATTATAATAAACCTTCACCGCTGAAGAAGAGAAATGTTTAATCATTTAATGTGTACTCTGGTAAGAAAACTGAACTCAGTTGTGTGCAGTACAACATGAGGCAGTGTGTTTTCCTTTAAGCATGAAAACACTGTTTAAGTAATACATTTCTGGGATGAAGCTAAAAGGGACCTGACATAAAAACCTTTATAGTAATCCTTGACCTAATAGTTTCTCTTTATCAACCATGAAGAGGAACAGTTTAAATCTTACTGACGCCTAGTAAGATTTATTGTTAGATAATTATAATTAGAAAATTGAGAGGCAAGAAGAGAGATTTTTTACAGTGCCCACCACCATTTGTTTTTTGTCCAGCCATGATTTGTGACCAAATAAAAGAGGCATTATACACTCTAGAAGAGTAATTCTTCAAATGCCCCCACGCTAACTGTACAACTTAAAAGTCAGAATACTGACAAAATAATGAAAAATCTGCCTGTAACAGACAGTTTCACATGTTCAGAGCATTTTGATATATCTATTGGAGTCAGATGTGTTTAGTGGTATGATAATCCTATTTGAAAATACCTCCAAGGGCTTCCTAGTCCATTTGGAGCACTTAAGCAAACACAGATAAATTAAAAATAGCGAGGAGGGGGGAGGAGATGGGAGATTGGGTGCTCCACCTCCCCACCACAAAGTCCCCTTAATGAATTGCAGGTATACGTTGTGCAGTTTAGTTTGGCATAAACTCAACCGGTCAGTGTTTTTCAGATTTTTTTGACAAGGTTTGTGCAAATCTTCACATCTTCTGCCACCTACCTGTACATGTGCTTGGCTTGCAAGTTTACGAGTGTCAGCTGACTGGTCTTTCCTGCATGACTCTTTGGTGTGTGAGGTGGTGGTTTTCCCTGATGTTGTGATTGTAATTGGAATTGCGTGCAAGACACAGCAGGCAGAGGGCTGGGCTAAGATGACAGGCAGCTTGTTCTTCGTCTGCAGGCTTACTGTTGGAATGTTAATCCTGCTAATGTATCACAGTAGCAGCAGATCACCACAAAGCCCTACAACAGCATTGCAAAGACAAGAGTGACGCTAAAATATACATTTTTTGGCTGCAAAGAATAATGAGCAGGAACTCTGAGTATATTTAAATACACTGCATTTGGTTACTACTGGACAGACAAAGCAGTTTTTAAAGTTAAAATGCCTCCATCTCTCCCAAAATAGTCTTCTTTTAGCTTGTATTACCTTGTCTGTTGGTAGTATTTCCTTCTGAGTGGTAATTGGTACCTCACATAAAATAATGTATTCGTAATATGTGAAATAATGGATTCACTATGAATTATCTGTTGATACTAAGCGCTAGTTATCACAGTGTCCTCTTTCCTCACTGAATTTATCTCATACTTGTCAAGGTCTCAGATTGTTGAGTCTGTGGATTGGTCAAAGGGGGCTTTCAATTAATCATTATAAGCACTTTTATTTCTTAGCAATTGTTAATTCTTAATTGGAAATGATTCTATTATTTTTTACTGCATGTGTACGTCTTAGATGATATTGCTCCTTATGTTATTTCTCACGTTTAGTTAAAGCCACATTTCAGTAAACCACAAGATTCCGAATTTTGAATGGAAGGGAAAAAAAATCAAATCACAGCTTCTCAAATAGTCTTTTAAACTAATGAACACCTGCAAAATGTTGTGTAGTTCTTCACGTGAATGCTGAAGTGAATGCATTTTGGACACAGGGATACCAAAACATTAAAACTGCTGTTGCATCATAAGAGAAAAGGGCACAGAGTATGCCAGAATTTACATGTTATTGTTCGACCGGGTCCTCAGTCTTCAGGTGAAGCAGAAATTGTGGCATGGGTGAAACATCAAGCCATTGTGACAGTAGAAGAACATGCAGCATTTGGCCACAAGGGGGCAGGTTATTCAGCTTAAACACTGTTCATCAAACTTAATTGTACCATTAAAAGCCAATGAATCCTCCAGGCAGCAAGGAAAATCAGGAAATTGGTTAACTAAAATATCTTTGTTTTGCTTATAGTGATTCAGTGATAGATTTTAACATGTGAAATGTATGGCAGAATCAGTTTGGTAAGAGTTAGACTTTTTTTTTTGCCTAGAACTGGAAAAGAAAACATTTGTGAGGGAAAAAAACTGTCCGAGGTATTCAACACCAATATGAAATATTGTTCATTTGAATAATACAACGCAGTTTTCTAGAGCATTCAAATATTTTATGTAAGGATTATAATGGGATTACCAAGGATTACTAATGGGATGCACACCACAGTGACATTGCAGTCATATTGAATAAATTACTGTTTCAAATATTAATTGTTAATCAATATTAATTATTTTTTGTCTCATTGTCTAAGAATTCACAGAAATATTACTAATATCATAATTGGTGTCTTTTAAGGTGTCACATATCTTTTGGATGCACTTGCTCGTGTGAAGTCCCAGATCTTGGAATGTTAATGATTATTTGGGTTAATCTTAACATGACACTGGTAAACTGAGCATTCAGAAATAAGGGCTTTCAGCAGAATTGTCCATTTTTAACTTTGTGATTAGTGGGATCATGTGCCCATCTGAACTAAATGTGAAAGGTGTTACATAAAATAAATGAGATTATTATTACTTTTACAAACCACAGATCGTAAACTGAACCAAGGAGTTATCAGAGGATTGCAAGCTCATTTACAGGAGGTAAAATAGAAGTCTTCCTGTATTGCTTCTCTCCTTCCCTTCTAAAAAAAATAAGTAATAAAAGTATTTTGGTAACAAAATGGAGCTTCCCTTCTCCCGCAGGAGCAAATGGGGTTCATTATCTGGATTAGACCTAAAGTGCCAAAGTGCAGCCATGGGAATTCCAATCAAGAAAAAGAGGACGGATGTGAACCTCGCTGGGCGATTTTATCTTCAGACAAATCACAGCCTCTGCGGAACTCTTGACCAAATATATGAGATCACATTGTGAATATTAAGTCAAGTTAGCTTAGCCGGGGACAGATTTTAAAACATCTTTCTGCATTTATTATGGCTACCATGGTCATTTTATTATGCAGTACAGGAAAGCACTGGCTGCCGTAGATTTGATACATCTTTTGTAAAGCATCTGTCAGTGTCAAAGAGCCATTACAGAGAAATACTGTACAAATCACCTGCACACCCTAGTTCATCGCCAGCACACACTTGGAATCTGGTCCCCAACTGTTTAAGGAATGTATCGCAAACAGCAATGAGCAGTTTACACTGAGGGATGTACTATATAATGCATTCACAATGTGTTAGGTAACTGAAATTGATCTAATTTAGCAGATATCCCTGTATTGTAAATCATTCTTTGAAGAAGCTGATGGTAATGCCAAATCCCGCAATTTGTGCTAGTGGTGTTATTGACAATGGTATGATTTTTCTTAATATGGACTTCAAACTAATTGATGGCAATTTTCGTTTTCTTATGAATGTATGCCAATCAGAGTGGGGGAACAGAACAAGTTACCCAGCCACGTTGTTGACGCTGATACCCTGGCTTCTTTCTTGAAACACTTGGCTGATATCAATTAGCTACTGACTGCTCAAATGGCCTCCTCTCGTTTGTGAGTGTTCTCATCAGTCATGTCAGACCTACTTATGAAGTATGTCTCAGACTGCTGAACAATGTATTTCACATTATGAAGTCTTACTTTTGCAAAACTTTTCTTAGATAATATTTAATTTCTTTAATTTTAGCTGGGCAAAATGTTCTACAGTAATTTGTATTCAGTACGTTTTCTCAGTGTATAGGCTTTTACAGTTGCTAGGTGGCAGTACAGTCCTATGGATCCTGTTTCTAACTCTCATGTCTCACCAAATTTGGATAGCACAAGCTTTGTTTAGAACAAAAAAACACTTTTATTATTGAAAAAGGTATGTTGTTAAGAGTGCTTCAGTAACTGAGATAATATGAACCCGCTTTAGAAAAAATATTATTTAAATGACACCTGAAGAAGGCTCCACGGCCGAAACGTTGTGTTTTCTTTCCTCTTTTTTTCAGCATGGAATAAACCTATTACTTGTTCCTTATTTAAATGACAGCTTGTTTCACAACCATGGGTCTCATTGAAGCCTCTGATAAAGTCACAAAAGATTATTTATCATGTATGTTTCACATGATTCATCTGGAAATTAAAAATAATTGTTTTTATTTTTTCTAATTCAACATATTTACTGTTCTCTAGGTGTTTCCAAAAACTAAAAATGAATTTAAGATTCTCTAATTGTTCAGTTTCCTGATAAATTTATTAACAAAAACTTTTGGGGGGCATTTTTACCCAGACACATCAATTAAGCATGAAACCAGTACAGTATTGTTGAATAACAGTATTATAAATGAAGGTTTCTACTTTTTCTATTTCATAAAAGAATAGCACATTATAATAGCAGGGCAAATGAAGCATGTTCAGACATTTGGGAAATGATTCAGTTCACTATGCACAATTTCAATATGTAATATTTTCCCAATCTAGCATGCCTTGAAAAGAAATAGATAAAGTTAAATTCCTTATTAAATTTATTCAACGTCAGGCATTAGTTCATGACAAAACCAATATATTAAAACTCTTTCTTCTGATTAATTTGTATAGTTAATAAGTTCATAAAGCCTTCCCTTCACTCTTTAATTTCTTTGAACTTAGTCAGATTCCTAATTGCTGACATTTCTTCTGACACTTTTTTGGAGTGATTCATAGATATGTGTAGCCAATACCAGCACACTATAATAGATTAATCATAATGTATATTATTATTATTATTATTATTATTATTATTATTATTATTATTATTATT